GTCGCGGTGGACGACCCCCTGGCTGTGTAAGTAGGCCAACCCGTGGAGGATCAGCCGCACGTAGGGGACGATCTGGCGCCGCTCGTCGAGCCCGTGTTGGTGGCGCTTATAGAGCTGGCGGAGCGACCCGCCCCCGCAGTACTCGAGGAAGATGTTGAGCAGCAGCAGCGTCTTGACAAACCCGTGGTACTTGACGATGTTGGGGTGTTTGAGGATCTTCAACAAGTCGATTTCGCCCATGAGGTTGCCGACATTGGTCGCGTCGTCGTCGAGGGCGATCTGTTTGATGGCGACGATCTGGCCGGTGGCCCGGTTGCGCCCACGGTAGACGCTGGCAAACGCCCCACGTCCCACCATCTCGATGAACTCGAAGTTCTCCAACGCGTTGTGCAGCCGGAGCTTCCCCGGGTGCTTTTCAAACCGCTGGGCGGGGGTCAACAGCACTGCCACCGACGTCTGGCGGCGGTGGGGCGTGCGCTGGCTGGCTTTGGCGGGCGACGGACGCCGCCGCTTGGGCGTTTCTGGAAGCTGCGACGCGCCCGGGGGCACCTCGTTCTCCTTGTCGTCGTCGCTGTCGCTCCACTGCTCGACGATGGGCAGCATCGGCCGGTAGGCGTCATTAGATTCTGCCGCCGGGTGGTGGTGGCGAGGCCGTGGCCGCTGGAGGTCCTGGAGCGACTCGACAAACGGCAGCAGCGAGTCGCCGCCAAGGACGATCCCGCACGCCTTGTGGGTGCGGAGCCGCAGCACCAGGAGCTGGACCTCGTCGAGGTCGAAGGCGTCGGCAAAGTCGACCAGGGTGTCGGCGTCGCGGTAGCGCCGGAGCCGGTCCATATGGCGGGATGAGAGACACGACGAGGTGGCGGTCAAGTGAGGTAAACAATGGCACCCGGAGAAGGTAAATACTGCGCGCAGCGCGAAAAGCGCGACTCCGGCGAAAAAAGAACAAATGAGAAGCTACCGTGGAAAGTGGAGGCCAAACGGCTTGTAGTCACCCACCACTCAATTGAGATTACAGCGGCCATTCATCGAGGGGTCAGTGCTTAGTTGAACGTTTGCAATTGATGACGGCGATATCTATAAGCTATCATCGTACTTATTAAGGCGGTAGTAATCGTCTTGGCCGCTTTCACAATCGAGTCAACCACCTGGGGAAACGGTATCAGAGTTAAAATCGATACCTTGGTGCCAGTGCCACGGTATGCCACGTGTTGTCGATCTCTGAACAAAACCAATTGTCACGAGCCGATAACACTTTAACAAGCTTGCCTACTGCCAGTTTTGGCACACGGGTTGAATCCAGCACGAGCCACAGGATAATCTCGGGGGAGATAACTCTTGACATTGGTTGTCGCTTCGGCAAGATAACCTTCCGCTTGATTTGAGACGTCCTCTAGACACTTACAGCACAAGTATTGCATGACTCCCTCGGCCAAATCTAGCAGTCATTACCGTCGAGAAGAGGATACTCGCTAACAGTAGGGGATGAATACATCAGCAGGTACAACATGATTTAATGAATTGTTTGACTCTACTTACCACTTAGGTTTACGGGACGACAGTATCATCCATTTGATCGGCAATATTACCATCTGTGATTGCCAGACCTGGAGTTAAATGACACAATCACTAAAAGAATGCCTCTACATATTTTTAAACAATGGGAACCTGTAATTATACACGAAACTAGTTTGATGGTTTCTATTTGTGAACACAACGTCCCCGCCAACCCTCCTTAGATAGCGCCATATCGAACATCGCAACTACTACTTGTAGATACTGGGTGCCGATCACAGTTCCCCTTATTGCTTGATGCACTCTAATGCGTATCATTTCTGCTGAGCCCTTTACTTTATACGCACTCCCTTATCATTGTAGAAAGAAAACTTTAAGCATATGCTTATATAGCAACATCTTCTCGGTGACACTAACCCTCCATCATTGCTCTTCCAGTTGCTCCCCATTTGGCAGAATAGAGCGTCAGCTATGCCTTGGCTTTTAGTTTGAAACGGTCATTCTGAGGGTTTACCTCGTGGTGAGATTCAATAATTCCTAAAGAGTAGAGCCGCACCAACTTTCACAGCTGCTGAGTTGAGTTTGGATTCAATTACACGGACTTCACGGTGGGTATGGTAGTAGATATTTTGCACCATTAAGTCTACGTGTGCTGCTGCCACACCTGGGTATGGTCTATTGGCAACCCCGCATCACGTGCTTTTCGCACCGATCCGTGTACATAGTATGCGCGATAACGGTTTCGGCGGGGCCGTTACCCGTCACCCCCGCCGATTTTTCAGTGCGAACCTCGGTCCGAAATCACCAATTTCACCAGATTACCCATGCTGTGGCTCGTGTTGGCGGTGGCAGTGTTTGCCCTTCTGACGATCAAGACGCTCCCGTTCGCGTACTTTGCCCGCTTCTACTTCCAGGTGCTCGTCACGGTCTTCTTGCCGATGGCGCGGTTCTTCCGCAATGGCAAGCAAAACACGTTTGGCTTCACCAAGCCCGGCGACGTGTTCTCGTGGGTGCCGTACCACCTGTACGTGCTGCCCCTCGAGATCGACATGTACTTGCACAAGCTGAACCTGACCTACTTCGCCGATCTCGACATTGCCCGCACCAAATTGGTTTGCCAGATCATGCAGCGGATGTTTATTCGGTTCCGCAACAATGACACTGGCGAGTTCAAGGGGAAGCTGGTCAAGAACTTTCCGTTTGTCCCCGTGGCGCTGATCAAAGGGCTGTTCAAGCGCGAGATGCTCGTGTTTTCTCGCTTCCAAATCAAGTCCCGCTTTTTCGGGTGGGACGATAACAAATGGGTCTACGTGGTGTCTAAGTTTGTCACTGGTAGCGGCAAAAATGAAAAAGTGATGGGCATTTTTGTCACCAAGTACTGCTTCAAGAAGAAAGGCCGCATCACCATCCGCCCGCGGGAAATCTTACAGGAAAGCGGGTTCTTCACCGAGGAAGTGTACCAGCAGGGGCTCAAGCAAGGCGAGACCGCCTGGACCGACGACTGGGATACCCTTTGTAAGATTGCCGACGCCACCGATTAGATATATAGACCGATAGACGAGGAATTTATACACTGGATTAGAGGAGTGATCATAGACGGCTTGGTACTAGCAGTGGTAATTGCCCAATATCAGGCACATGTCGGGATTGCGGAATTATTTTTAAAGGGGTATTTGTCACCAGGGGTGTGGTCGATGATTTGCATTTGCCGATCAGCCATGGTTGAGTAGACAATAGAGAAGTCAACACAACTTTCCAGACTAAAGCCGAGAATGCATGGTCTACAGTTGGTGAACGTGATTTGATTGATTAGAATATACGCACAAACTAAGCTTCACCGGATTCTCCGTCGTCAGATTCACACGGTTCCTTGATCAAAAAACACTGGTTTCCCAAAACGTGATCATCGACCCACGTCTTGGCCAAACCGCGGTAGCCACATTTGCACTTGCCCAGCTTTTGGTACAAACCACTTAGCTTAAATCTCCGTGGTGTTGTTATCCTGTTAAACTTGAAGTGGGCGACGAGCATGTGGGTGATGCAACTATTAGGTCTAGTGAAGGGCCCCTTGTACCGGCCACACTCTCCAAGGTGTCGGAACTTACAACTGAAGTCCCAGGTGCCACGATGGGACATGTAGTGCCTATACCAGTCATTGCTCCGATAAAAGTTTCTGTCACAAATAGAACACTGGTACTGAGGCGGTGGTGGTGCCACTGCCCCGGTTTTCGTCAAGGGGCATACGTCCGTCAATACATGGTTGTGTAGCCACTTCTTTGCTATCCCGTGATAGCCACACCCACACGTTCCCTTATGCTTCATTAAGTCAACAAGTTTGCGAGTTTCCACATTATCATGATTGTCAAATGTGAAGTGGCATTTGATCATATGTAATTTGCAATCAGAAGGATTATTTGTAGGATTCTTGAACCTGTCACACATTCCAAGGGCGTTAAACTTACAGTTAAAGTCCCAATTGTTGTGGTCTCGATGGTATTTCGTGTGGCCGTCAAAACGACCTTTAATCACCTTGCCACAGATGAGGCATTCGCCTTGATCATCAAAACCTGGTTGCAGAAGCGGCGGCATTGATTGTTATTGTCGTCTAACCAGGTGCTTGCCGAATGTTGTAGCCGGACTCAATTGTAAAAAGGGGGCAAATTATCCGTGATCGGGGCAATTCTCTGACTCAAGAGTAAGTGAATATTAACTTTAGGGAGAGGTAGAGTTCTTATACTTGCATGGCTGACAGTGGCGCCAATGGAACAAGTGCAACTGGAGCGACCCCGATCAATGACGTAATGACAGAGTATCACTCAACCTACCCAAAGAGATCCCAGTGACACTAGCGGCAATTTGATCAATTTCGCGTATTTATGTGATCTTCATTGTTACTTTTAGCCCCGAGTCTCGCCTCGTGAGCTATGGATTATATCTAGTGTATTATTAGTAAGGGGTCATTAGCAATTAGGGTATCGTTAGTGAGAGCCGAGTTTGTCCCGGCACAGTCGCCAGTAGGCCATCGCCTCCTCGGAAAGGCCAATCTCATGGTTATAAGCAATGTTGTCGATATTGCACCCGTTGAGGAGAAGCAACTGCGACACGCAGAACATGGGCCGGTGGTCGTGCTCCATCGTCACGAACTTGCGGAGAGAGTACTCAAAGAGCAGCACCACCCGCGGCGTCGGGGCAGCGGCAGCGGGGGCCCCCGCCTTGGTCGAGGGAACATTAATCTGTAAGTGCATGTTGACGTTGCCCCCCTGAGCGATCAGCTTGAGCACCTGGGGGATATCGATGTTCTGGATGGCGCCGATGAGAGCACTATCGGGATTATCGTTGGGGGCAACAAACTTGCGGTCGCGATACTTGGCCCGGATATACTCGAGCCGGTGGGGGTGGCTCAGTTGAGGAGTCGGGCGGGTCAGCCGGCGGGCCTCGAGGTAGCGGTTGGCGTCGGCGTTGTTGACATACAGCAACAAGTAGCGCATCTCGGCGTCAAACGTGTCGAGCTTCAACAGGCGTATTTTCAGGATGTGCAGCCCTAAGTTGCGGTGGCACAGGGCACACTCGACACACACACACACCAACCAGTTGATCAGCACCCACTCTACTTGCTCTGCCAGCCCGCAATCGGCGCAGAGGTGGTTGTTGGCGAGTGGTCGCAGCCGCACCGAGTGGTACACGTCGTCGCCGTTGTCCCACTTGCGCGAGGTAATCAGCACTGGCGACACCGCTGCTGCCGCTACTGCTGCTTGGGGCGTTGTCGCCGCGTCGTTGTCAGTAATAAGGCGTGACAACGGACGCTTATCACTGCCACTAGGACGCTTATCGCTGCTGTTGCGGCGTCGAGGGATGGCCGGCATCTGTGAGTCCACCATCACTTGTCCCGCTTGATAAAGTGCCTTCATCCACTTGGAGCGTTCGTCGGCGTCGATGGCCTGGAACACGTGCTTGTTACCCGCCAGCGTGATGATGGCAAAGCAGTTCTGGCGCTTATCGTAGGTCATGGGCTTGATCAGCGCGAGGGCGATGGCGATGGGGGTATTGATCGGCTTCAGCCCCTTGCGCCAGTCCAGGTACTCCATCAAGAGCCCGTTGCGCAACACCACCCATTCCTTATGCCACCCCGGCTTGCCCTGGCCTCCTAACGCGTAGAGAATCAGCAGCATGTCTGCCGTCTGGTCACTATTTGGCCGTGGCGTGAACACCGACCCCAGCTCGTCAAAGATCTGAGATAACGAATCATGGGTCACCACGGCGTCATTGGACGATGCGCCGGTGGGATTCAACAGGTTATGTTTGAGGACGGTGGTGAGCTCCTCGTTCAGCTGCAGCGCCTCGATGAGCTGGCGGAGCTTTGTCTTTTCCAGGTTGAACATCGACACGGCGTGGAGATAGATCGAGTACTTGTCACTCACTAAGATATCCCGCTGTTTGGGGTCACGGAACTGGCTGAAGTTGAGTAAATGGGGCTGGTGAGGGTCGTAGGGGAGCTGGATAAACTTGAAAAGCCCTTCGAGCCAATGGTTGGCGTACTGGTTGTTGGTGACGCCGTCCAACTGGTTCATGTAGTCGTACTTCAGCACCTCGAACGCCTTGCGTTTGGCCAAAAGCTTCAGCTCGGGCCGGTCCTTTTCGTTGCTCAAATACTTGTTAAGCCACAGGTAGTACTCTTTTGAGTGCAGTTCGAACCGCTTCTTTTTCTGGTAGAGCTCGTTGGTCTCGTTGCCGTCCAACCCACTCAAACTGAGCCCAGCCAAAGTTTGGCTCATCTTGCGTAGCGCAGAAAGGTCAAACACGTCACTGACAATAAAACGAAGGTTTTTCTCCACCACCTCAAACACTTGGCCGAGGCGCCGGTCAAACTCGGCGACAAACTGGAGCTGGCGCAACATCTGGGGACCGTGAGCATCAACCACTGCCAGCAAAAGCTCGCGGAGGCGCGGGCGACTAGTGGCAAGCTTACGCACGGCGGTGTCGACGGCCCGGAGCTCATCGTAGAGGGCTAGCGTCAGCTTTTTGTACGAGCCAAAGCTCAGCTCGTAGCGGCTAATCCTCAGCCTGAAATCGGGTCCATCTTCAAGCACAAACGTAAACTGGCGCTGGTAGGCGTCCACCGACACCGGGATGTCCTTCGCCACGGGGGTATCGGGACTGACGGGGGTCGTGGGCTCCAGGCTCTTCTCCGAGCTGCCGTTCGCCGCTGGTGGTGTCGGTGGTGGCTGGGCGTAGAAGCGGAAGTCAAAGAGAAGGCGGTGGCTGTCGGTGGTGGCGTCGTACTCCCACACCAGCACCTCCACAAACCCCGTGAGCCGGTAGGCGTCGTTTATGGTGAGTCTCTGCTTGGTGGCGTCGCGGTCGAGCGGCAAATTCGTATATACAAGCTTCAGCACCTCGGCGCCAGGGGCAAGCTTCTCGGGGGTCAGTGGTCGTCGCTGAGTGGCTGGCAGCTTGATGATAAGCAACAGTTTCGTCTCCATGTTGTGAGGGACAGTGGTAAACGTCACCAGCAATTTAAGCCGACAGAATTGCATGGGCACTTGTACGATTAACGGGCACTGGCGATGGTGGCGGAGACTGCGCTCATCCTCGTCCGTGGGCGGCACTTGCGGGATGGGGGAGGCAATGTATTCCAAGGGAGCAGTCGGGATCGCGGCGTTGGCGACACTGCCACCGGTGTACCCCCACAGCGCCACCTGTTTGTCTTCGGTTAAGTCGAGGACAAGCCGGTGGTCGTCGGCGGCGGGGGTGAACTGGAGGCGCGCAAGCAGTACCCCCAGCGCAATGCTTTCGGCATAGGGGAATATTAGTGCATTAAGCAGCATGGAGGAATCGGGAACAGGGGCCGCGGGGTCGGGGGAGGCGATGGCACTGGTGGGGCGCTCAGTGTAGTGCGGAGGCCGAGTGCACCAGTTGGTGATGGTTGTGTGCAGGATCGACCCCCCCAATCAAAAGAAGGTCGGGTGATTTGAGACAAAGAGAGATGACGGCGGCGAGAGCGACTGGATAAAGAGGAAAGCGGTGGTCAGAGGGTATCGACCGATATGTAGCGTATCTGGTTTCAGGCTGCGTTTGCCTAAAACTTGTGGGCTGAACCTAGAGGCGGGTGGACCTAACCCTCTGCTTTGAGTCTCTGCTTTGAGTAAGAGAGAGAAAATGTTATGAGGATAGCTTCTGATATTTTCAAGGCGCAGAGATCTTCTTTCAAATTGCTGTGCATCAATAAGTTAACTCCTCGTACTCAAGGGCTCCATGTGAGTCGATGGTGGAATCGCCAAATTCGTGGGACGCGACTGTTTGTTTACCTTAGTGTTTGGGGCCCGCACCTGGTTTCCCCTGCCACAAATGATAAATAAGAGTCTCGCTTATTTGATAGTGAAGTTCCGGTGAATTCAGTTTCTCTCGGCAAACCCTATATGGATGGCTTTATGAGGATACGATGGTACGCGCTTTGGGAATATCGATCCCCGCGTTTTGAAGAAAAACACCCCACTTTGACCCTCACTTGGTAAGGATTATATAGGTGGTAATGTGGTACCTTTGGATGGTACCAATGCTTGGTTACTTAAGGTGTTTTCCTGTAGTACCGGCCGTTATGGTACTACCGTGAACTCGTCCCAAAACTTCGTCGTCTCGTCATAAATGGGAGGCCCACCTCCACGGGCTGATCATGTTGTGCCTCTTGGACCGGGTTTGTGGCACCATCCAACCCGTTAACTCACTTCTGTGTAATGGTAATGATCGTATGACTGGAAAACCCTCTGGAACTTCTTACGTCGGAGGGTTTGTCAATGGTGGCGGCACTGACTAGAAAGACGACGGGAATGGTTCAACCACTGAAACTCTCCGTTTCAATTCTAAATTACAAGAGTTCCGCCCTATTACGGGGTGAAGGTAACATCAACGTTCATTGGCCGTAGCGCCATTAGGCTGGCTGATCTTTTTCATCTTGTGTGAGATGATTAGTCCCTCTCACATCGACCATAGATATCACATATACGATCTGACATGAGACATCTGCATACACGGCCGATGGAAGCATACTAAACCTGAGTGCACTCTTCAAAGAATGAGTTTAATCGGCATCTGGGTGCCACTGTCTATAAGAGTTCTCCCCTACACAAGTTCTATGTTCATCTGTGGAACAAACGTTGATGAAGTTGATTTATTAGTAGGCTAACTAGTCCTATTTATGATAATGTTGAACAATGAATGCCATTTCAGTGTAGTGCGTTTGTCCTGCGTACATGCATTTCACTTATCCATGGACATTATCAATGGTCTATTTGGTCGAATAAGTATAACATACACTGAAATAGGATTCATTGTTCAACAGTAGGCTGACTAGTCCTATTTGTGTTGATTGATATATCACATGTGATTACCGTCAAGGTGAATGTCCTGCGTACATGCATTTCACGTATGCACGAGCACTGTCAAAGTCCTGTTCCGTCGAATAAACATCCTGTTCCACGGAATACACAGAGTCTACACTGAATGGGATTATTCATTGTTCAGCACTTTGTATATGTTATCTGAAAGCTAACGACGAGACCTTGTTAATATGGACGACGGGCGCAACAGAGTGGATCGAGTATGCCGGTTTGAACACCTCGACACCGACGTCCACAACATCATCTTTGCCTTGCTCGACGTGCCCTCGGTGTGTCGTCTTGCCATCGCCTACGCTGGCTTCGGCTTCCGCCGCGTCATCGCCGACTACCTCAGCGCCCACGTCGTTGAGGTGTCGCCGGAGTATATCGTCAGCGGTGACGAGTCGCAGGTCGACCTTGCCACGATGGTGTTGCTTCCGAGCCAGTGCCGCGTGAAGGTGGTGACGTCGGTGGCGTTTTGGGAGCTTGCCCGGGGTCACTTCCTCAGCGAAGGATGCCCGCAATTCAAGCTGGTGGCGATAGAGAGGGCCCCCAGCATTGGCAGTGCGATCCCGATGAAATTGGGTGGCTTATCACAAAACATCACCTCCATCAACTTGGCGGATGTGGTTCTCGAAGCTAGGGATATCCCGCCCACAATGGAAACGCTCTCACTAAAGAACTGTTATGTGAAGCCGACCCGGGACTTTTCTCACTTGGTCAATCTCACCCACCTCCACGATGAGAATTACTACGATACTAGCGATATAGTGTTGCCGCCGCTGATTACCACCCTCTACCTTGGCCGCCGCAAAGACTTTGTCTTCGATGTCTCGGGGTTGCCCCACCTCAAGCACGTTTCTGGACGCAGCTTCGCCAATCTCCCGTGGGATCAGCTTGAAACGATTACGTGTGAGGACATCCCCGCCGGCACCCGTTGTCGCCACTTAAAGGAGATCACCATAGACCCGGTGAACGACGAGGGGGCACGGTACCCCGATTTTGCCGGTATCGACTGTCCCGAGCTCCACCGGGTCGAGTATCATTGCTGGAGCCGCGGGGGCGACCTCGCCGAGTTCTTTAGCCCTCCCCAGTTGGCGAGGCTAACGATGTTCTCCTCGTTACTTGTGGGCGTATCCGATCTAAGTGTTCTCGCTAACGTGAACGTGTTACACTGTAGGCTTGACGTGACGCTTACCGAACGCACGCCGCTACCACCACACTTGGTGGAGTTGAAGCTTATGTCGTCGCAACCGGTCCGGGGGGTCCCCCCGCAGCTTGAAGTGTTTGCTTACAACGCTTACGAGGTGGCGAGGCGGCCTCACCACGTCGTTGTCGCCTCGGCCAATCTTCGCCAGTTGCAAGTAAGCACGGCGAAGTCGTTGACGATCAGCTGTGGCAACCTCACCGAGCTCACGGTGGCCGACGTCAGGTGTATGCATAAGCTCTACGTCCCCAACCTCGAGAGATTGACCGTGGGAAACACCAGTGTGCCGCTCGTCAAGATCTCGCGGCTCCCAAAACTCGCCCATTTGAAGTTGACGGCAATCGACCTCCCGCGGACGAAAATGGTGTTCACCCACCCTCTCACGTCGGTGGTGCTTGCCGGGTGTAAGCTAGGCCGAGTGGTGGTATCGGCGGACACGGTGGCGCTTGAATACTGTGAGCTTACTACTTGTCCGACAATCAGGGCGAAGGTGGTCAAAGCCCACGGGACGAAAGTGGGGGAGGGGGATACCGCGGTGGAGTTTGGCGCCGGGTGTGAGTGTCAGGAGCTAGTGTGTGACACGGTCTCCCAGATCCCCGCCACCGTGGAGAAGGTGGCGATGCTGTCGATGCCGCAAGACCCCACCCACTTATTTCTGGTGTGCAAGAGCCTCAAGTCGCTCCTTTTGTACACTTATAGCGTCACCAACATCAGGGTGCCTCCGTCGGTGACCTACCTCAAAGTGGGGGCGATGCCGCCGGAGGCGTTGGCCACCATTCTCGCCAAATCCGATGCCAGCCGGCTTGAGTACGTCGAGTGTCTGTTGACATCTCTTCCCGCTTCATATGCTGCTTACCAGAAGTTGATACCTAAAACCCACCAGCACTGCGGGGGCTATTTGTGGTGTCGCCACGATCTCCTGACAAAGTTATTTACCACGGCAATCAACCATTGATTTGAGGTGCCTCCCAATTACATCCACTCATAATACCACTTGTAGCATTGAATATACTCGTATAGGCCGTGGTCGCTTGGTGCGGCGGGGGGGCGCGGGGGTCGAGGTCGCACCAGACGCGTTTGTGGCCGGTGTTTACTCCGCCCGCCCACCATGCCCGAACTGGGTGTATCCAGCGGCGATGACGGCCTACGACGTCAGCTACGCCAGGCCGAGGCGGAGGCGAGCCACTGGAGCCAGCAGTGGACCCAGCTTCGGCGCCAGTACGACGACATAAGCGAGAAATACAACCATCTCCAGCGCGTCATCACCGCCCAGAGACCTGTCCTCGACGAGTTAGTGGCGCAAACCACCGCTTTGGTCGGTGAGTTTGTCGACGATGAAGCCATGGAACGGCTTGATGCAGGCATCAAGCGGCTATTCACCATGAACTACCGTGATCACGACCACGAGGCCCCACCCGACGCCCATGACATCGATAGCCACCGACTCCGGCTCTACCACGCCTACTTGAGTTTATACCAGGACTACCAACGCCTAGCCGCCGACACCAGGCCGAGAGGGTTCTCGCGGGACTCAGTTCTCCGGTTTTTGCTACGTCTTGTCAACCAAGGCCAGCTGGTGGCTGAGGTGGCGAAGTTCCTCGAAAATGCCGGTAGCAAGGGGGAATTGACCCCAGCAGAGGTGGAAGAGCTTAAGCTGGTGTTGGAAAACGGAACCAGTACTCGTGCCCGGCTGTCGGCGCTCGATTGGCTCCCTGAAGCGATCGCGTCTGCGTCCACCGCCAACAACTCCTATATCGATTCCAAGGATTCGCAGTCGACGGTATACGCTGCTGACGATGACCACAACTTCCTCAAAGCCCAGGTGGAGACGCTCACGGCCCAGCTTAGCCAGCTCAATCACCACCACGCCCACTGTGACGACCACCACCAACAATGGAAAACCACCACCGACACCCTCACCAAAGAGAACGCTGACCTTCGCCAGCAGATCCACCAGCTTCAACTCCAACAGTCTTCGGATGATGCCGTTAAACGCGAAAACGCTCGCCTCTGGCAGGAACAACGCGAGCTTGTGGCGCAGATTCGCGAACTATCGGCGCCGAGAGCGTCGGAAGTGTCGGAATTGGTGGCGGCGCACGCCGAGCTTGCTCGGCTTGAACGTCGCCAGCGCCGGCTCGTGGTGACAACGATTCGCCGCCAGCGCACGTTCGCCCGCGCCGTCGCCGGGCGGAGCATGGAGATGCTTCGCCAGGGCGTAAGCTACGACCCCCAGCGGCAGCGGCTGCCGCTAACCTTCCGCACAGTAGCGCTCTTGGTGGTAGCGGCGGTGCGCCTTCGACGCCACGGCGACCACCGACGTCGTGACCAGGCGGAGATCGCCGCCGTCGACGGCGCCCTCGATCAGCAGCGCCAGCGCGTCGCTGATTTGGAACGGGTGGCGCGGCGGTAACGGCGGTGAACCTGGACCACCACCGTTAATGCCGCTTTCGCCAGTCGTGGCGCACCGCGCTTGCTGGGCGCCATCGTCGCTAACGGCTACCCCCGTCATATGACGTAGGTCGCCAACCACCACAGGAACGCCCCCCGCTTGTGTCCGAAACATACAGCCAAAGGTTACCGTTGCGGTAGCCTCCCCCCGCGGAGGCGTTCGACGCTTGTTTGAGACCAGCGTCATGGGGGATACTGCTGCTGGGTGGATGATGCGTTTGGCGGCGTCTGGTGCTACGGGGCGTGTCGCTGTCGCCCCGTACCTGAATACCGAGCGCAATTTCAGCCACCGGCGCAGGTGGTAAACGTCAGTGTCTGTTTGTCAGCTGATTGCCGATCAGTGTCTGCTTCTGTCATTTGTTAAAAGTCTCCGTGAGCGAAGTTTGTGGTATTGTGTTCGGACGCTCGTCACTCGGGGAGCGTTCCGGGCGCACCGATGCCGCCGGGATTACGTGCGATGTAATGCGCGGCAAGGTTGCTTCGTTGAATATGTCGAGGGGGGGTGACAAATGCGGGACCAATTGTGTAATTCGCACTCTGGTCAGCCTCGAGACGTGTGATCACCCGGTAGCCGACAACAAAGCGAAATTTCGGAAGCGGAAATGGGAAAGGACGAGAATTTTAACGACACTCAACGACACTCGTATTCGCGCCACCATGGGGGGGAGAGACGCGTTTGTATCCGCAATCGCCAGCACCTGGCGCGGGCGACTGCGCGAGTAGCCGGGGCTGCTTTTGCAAAAGTGAAGGAGGCTTGACGGCGCCAGCGATCACCACTGGCAGCCATGGGGGGCAAAACCTACTTGAGAGAACGCGGGGTGGCGGTGATGGGCTACGTCATCAAGGCGATACACGTTTCCGCCGGTCATGCTCTGGAACTGGCAGAACACGGCTTGCACCGGTGAGGGGAAACGTGAACAGCCACAGGGTGGCTAGTGCCGGTCCAGGGAGTAGGGTGACGCCACCGGGGTCGGGGGGGTCACGCTGCCAGAAAGAAGATTTATTCCATAATACAGCTTCTGGCCCAATGCTCACGTCTCTCCTCTGCCATAAAAAGGCATAGACAATAAGCCCGTGGAGGATGGTCCGCATGGAGCAACATAGATAATATTCCAGACCAAATGCTCGACGAGTGATTCATTTCCTTGACTAATAAATTAATAAGAAGGGTAACGGGCACCTATTGGCCAAAATTGTAGGGTGTTGACAAAAATGGAATATTGCAGTGATCAATCACCACACTCTAATTAATCTCGCCGGTAATGATACCGTTCCTCTAAAACGCTTTATGATGAGTGACCAAGCGCTCATAACCATAATTGTCCACTGTAACCAGAATTTTCCTGCCCAAACCGGAAGCCCGCTGCATCCCTTGGCTGAGGTAAGCCGGGACCACAAGGTGATATGCAATGCGCGCGATGTCGATTGCGCCCCGCCCGCAAAACCCTAATAAATAATTAAGCCCCCCGATCACACCCGCCTCACCCTTGCCGCCGATTGGTCGGCCCCCCACCCTCCACGCCAAAAGCCACCGAGTAGACCCCCATCACCCACCCCCATATGTAGCCAGTCTCTGCCACGACACCAGCAGATGAGACACCCATCCAACACTGGGTCGGCAGTGTAGTCATGGGCACGGAACTCCGTTTGCCACCGCAATCGTGCCTCGGTCACCCCTCCCCACTAGCCACACCTCGCCAGACCAATTAAATGTCGGAGCATAAACAGTGTGCGTACGGCGAGCATGAGAGAAAAAAAAAAGAAAAAAAAAGAAACAGAAAAAAGGGGCACGGTACCGGAATCCTACAAGAAAAGGCGCTGCGCCGAGGATTAAATTTGTCACCGCACACGCCACCCGCCCGTACCACACGCTACTTCCCCCCGCCACTCCAGCGACAGAGGCTTTTTTAATCTTTCTATTCTTTTCATCCGGACCACTGGTGCCGTCGTGCTCTCCTGTTCTTCAGAGTATACGTCACCACCTTTGCCTGGCCTCATCCGCGCGACGTTTTTTTCCGTGGCCCAATTTGTTTATTTGAGCGACCGCCGGATCCCATCCGATTTCCCTGGCACCCACTACGTCTTGGGACGGTTTCTGGTACTGAACTGACCGTCCACTCTGGCGAGACCTCTGTCGATCTTCGCTAACTTTGACCAGCTTTTCGTGCTCCCTGACCAGACGTCGTTAGTGGAGCCGGTTGTGCCGACGTCCCCCGAGTCGCCTTTCCTAGTCCCTGCGTCCCCGTTGTGGGAGTTCTCGCCCGAGAGCTTCACAACACCACTTCATCAATATCCTATGACTGCAAAAGCCACCAGCAAACCGCTTGTGCCCAAGGTCGAGGCCGCGCTGGCGATCGACGCCGTCGCCGTCGATGCCCCGCCGCGCGACCACCAAATGAACGGGCTGGCCTCCGGACTGAGTAACGGGCTGGACCCGCTGCTGGCCGTCGTGCTGACGCTGCTGTCGGGCGACGACGAGCGCCTGAGCGACAACAAGTCCGACGAGCTGATGAAACGGCTCCTGAAACTGGGGCTCCCCAAAAAATACTTTTGCAAGTCGTGTAATCAAGGGTTCACTCGCAAACACAATATGATCCTGCACGAGCTCATTCACCTGACGGTGAAGCCCCACCAGTGTCTGGTGTGTCTGCTAAAGTTCCGCCGCATCCACGACCTTAAACGTCACGAAAAACTCCACACCGGCGAGAAGCCCCACGTGTGCAAACGGTGCAACAAAAAGTTCACCCGCAACGACGCTCTCGCCCGACATCAAAACCTGCCCAACGCCTGTATCCCCGTGCGCGATCGCGACTCTCCCGACGATTCCAGCAGCGGTAGTGGTAGCGGCAACGGCTCGAGCTCCGCCGACAGCAATAACACGCGGGCGCTGCTGCAGCGGCCGCTGGCCCTGCTGGAGTTGCTGCTGGAGAACTTGGCCAAAGTGACGGCGGCGGCAGCAGAAGCAGCGCCGACGGCAACTCCCCTCAAGTCGGAGCTGGTCGATACTCAGCTGACGCCGCAGGCGCTGCTCCCCCAGCCGCAGCTTCTGGCGCGTCCTTCTAAACTGCATTTCACTCTGAGCTTCGACAAGCCCGATTTTAAGTCCGACTTCACGGCGCTGCCGCTGGCGCCGGCGGTGCCGGCGTCGCACCTTCAGCAGCTGAACCACGAGTACCTGAACTATAACCGCATCAACGACTTGCCCCAGCCGAAACGGGTGCTGCTGATGGTGTTCCCCAATAATCCCTATCTGCAGTTTGTGCCGCCGGTGCTCCACAACCCGCCCACGGCGCAAAACGGCCACCAGTCCCAGTTGGTGCCGCTGATGGTGTTGGACAATAATGCCGCCAACGGCACCGCCAACGGCTCGGTGCCGCCGCCGCCGAATCCTTCTGCCAGTACCGTTGCCGCCACCTCCAGTGGTGCCCTCGCGCTGACGACGTCACCCGACGCCGCCGGGGCGCCGCCGCTGCTACTGCCCACCAAGACTCATGCCGAGGTGTCGTTGGACACCGGCAAGTACGTCCCTCTCGAGAAGTACCAGGACCTCCTCAAGTACGTCAAGAAGATGGAGACGGAAGTGCGTACTCAGCGTGAACGCATCCAGGAGCTTGAGCGGCTGGCCAATGAGCAGAAGATCATCGTGCGCTATCTTGAGGACCGCGAGCATGACCTGCGTCGCACCCACGATAACCACAAGAAGCACACCAAGAGCTCGGACCTGGACGACCTGATGGAGAAACCGGCGCTGAAGCGGCGAGGGCTCGACGACGACGACGAGGAAACCAGCGAGTAGGCTCGTCGTGGCTCTCAGCCTCACTCCTGCCACCAGCATTTTGACCCCCACCCGCCGCTCGCTAATTGTCATATTCCTCCTGGGCGGTAGTGGGGGACGATGTATCGTGGTGGGGTACAAGTATAGTTGGAGTATCGTTTGACAGTTATCGCGTTGAACAAGTATAGTTGGACAGATATAGTGTACAAATATAACTTTGACAAATAGAACTTCGAACAAATAGAATATTGGACAGACATAGGTGAACAAATATAATGTTGTGGTTTCAAGTGTCGACACGTGTGTAGGCTGACCAATTGGTCGATTTGAAACAGGGCCCATGGCGGCGATATTGGAAAATAGGGGTGTGGCGGCGGCGAGAGTCGAACCGCGCGGGATTTCGGTCCCCGCCGGGGCCGAGGCTAGACGGAAACCCCAGTGGTGGCAAGCGATACCTGGTGCCACCGTGAGGTCACTGTCTCTGTTTGAGCCGTCGCTTTCTTAAGTGACCAATAGTGGTGAGACATCTGAGACCATTTGTTTATAAGTGGCCACATGCCCAGGGAAAAGGGGTAAGCAACCGAGCCACCCCGGCCTCCCCAAACAGCACCACGCTGGCCCCAACAGGCGGCGACGATAACCCGCCATTTTGCCACCACCAACCGGTGGAAAATAACGCCATCAGCGACGACGGGGCGTGGGGAAAGGGATAGTCAAGAGGAGAAATAAAATTTTAATTCGCCATAACCCTTGCGGCTGTGTGCAGGTCACTCGCCACAAACTAGGGCAAGCGGCAGCCATATTTGTTTACCTCCTGCAGGTAGCCAAAAGCATGTCTCACTTGATTGTCGATCCCTACCCTGGTCAATGTTGTCGCCTGTGTTGGTGAATCAGTGCCGCCACCGTTACCCTTCCGGCGATGATAAAAATTGTCGGCACCGTCCTTGTGGATCTCCTCAGAAACTTCAGTCGATGAATAGCCACGGATACCCCAATCAGATGACCCTATAATGCAATGATCATTCCTTTGAGTTTAATGACGAGCCCGGTATTTGCTTAAGTCTGAAACTGATTCCAGTTTAGCGTTTGTATTCCCCCTCTTATTCTCTTATGGCTGGTGTCGCTACATTGAGTACACGCAGGCGAATGGTGTATCCATACCACAGCCATGGCGAAAATTCATAAATGAAGGCCAACTTTTCATGCTTGTTGATCTAGTGTCAATTGCTAGTTCTGATCTGGTGCCTACTGTCAGTGGATCTGGCAATGACGACCTTTTGGAAGACTTAATCTCAGTTATCTCAGACGACGACGACAACTTGCTTACTATCGAGTGCTACCGACAGCTTGCAAGCAACGATGACATCCCTTTTGTGAAAATTCATCATTTGGACCCACCCAACCCCATCATTTTGCCGTCCAAAAGCGGTTCACCTTACGACAACATCCATCTTTTGCAGCTGGTCACAAACGCCTACGGTTTCCATCGTTAAAGCGAGTAAGTTGACCTCATGGAGGGATGTCTATTGGACGGATGAGCATGAAGTAATTGTACGTAAGGGCTTGGAGAATAGTACGGGACTGAGGGCAAGAGAGGCGATCGTAGAGGAATTTGCCGCTTTCAATATCTCCATTCCCTCAAAGTTGGTGTACTACTTAGCCTACCACTATGATTTCATTGTGCTCGAAAATTGCATTCATCACAGTTTGGCGAATGGAATACAATATGCCTACGAGTGCTTTGAATATGAATTGCAATTTGAAGAAATCGTCCCTGATGTTCAACAAAGTCTATACGAACAACTTGATATATTGTTGCCGCAAAATATTGTGTGGTGGGCGTGTGAATTCATCCGCCACATTTCGAAGCGAGAGGATGAGTTTGATGTGGTTGTAATTGATTACCAATCTATTTGAATTGGAGATATTCGAGGTTGCTATTTAACTTGGGAGATATGGAGAATCATTCACAAGTTGTCTGAAAATCAGAATCTTGAACTCCAATAGAAAAACTCAATACAATCTTCACCGTAATAATTTTTGATACAATTAACTGGTGACCGAATAGATTACATGAGACTGTTCGTTCATTACTATTCAGGGAAATGATCTTGTTGACACTGGATTTTTTAGTATTGACCCCGAATTAGGCAGTATCAAAGGATTAGTGTTGCCCGGCCTATATGTCGTTGAGCTCGTCGAGCAATGACTTCATCTCGGCCACCGTCAACCGCGAGCGCAACTCCGTTCTTTCTCCGACGTAAAGATCTCTCATGAACGCCCACACTTTAATCATTCTTGCAAGCTTAGGCAGTGATCTAAGAGGTATACGCAACCCATCTTTGCACTTTAAGACATCAATTGCCCCCTTCCCTAGAAGTACGCCTCCTTTAATGAAGGCATCATCTTCTTCAAAATCACAGGCATTATATTCTTCAAAATCACAGGCAACATCTTCTTCAAAATGACAATCGTGTGGGATTTTGCCAACATTAATCACTGCAGGAATGGCGTCCAGCATCAGCGAGGTAACTTTTTGGTTATCGTAAAGCATCATGGGCTTATTGATACCTTTAGGAGCATAAAAAGCTTTTACGGCAACTGACTGGCCGCTGTTATCCACCACCTTGAGTGTCCCAGTTCCTTCAACAACGATCTCGCCCCAAGGCACTTTCGCAACGTACGGCGAGGTCTTTTTGAACTTACTTATCACCAGCCGCAGCACGACAAATGAGCACGAATCGGTGAATGTCAAAAAAGCCATAGGACCCCGAGATTCGATTCTGGTGAGCACAACTTGGCTTATGACACTAGCGAATGTAAGTATGATTCTTGAAACGTCTAGTTTAGAATCGTGAAGGCGGGGAATAGCGAGAAAAACGTCAACAAGTTGCGGCCCTACTTGAAGAATTAGGTCAGTGCTATCGTCATAGTCGTCAAAAGGGTATTCTTGGAATCGTTCAAACGTCAGGTGAATCATCGCAACCGTTTTTTCCTCGGAAGACAGAGGCTGGGAGCTACCATCGGCAAATTCACGGCAATAATTCGTGAGTAAATTGATACCCCGAGCCAAGTGATCAGAAATCAATTGCAGCCTTGCCATATTTCTATCATCAGGCACCGAGCTTCGTGATGTCTGCGTTTCATTATCGTAACCAAAAAAATCGTGTGTTTCCAACACAGACTTTGTGCGCGGCTTGAAGCGTTCCCACTCCGTATCGGTGGTGCCTTGGGATGAAACTGAAGGAGGACTACCCCACCATGGTTCGTATAAGTCACTCAAGTGCTTAGATTTCCAGGCAGCAATTTCATTATCATCAGTGTAAACCAACGATGGGAGAGTATTCAAAAGTAACAAGATCTTCCCTCGAACTTGACCCCTGGCCATCAGTTTATACTTAACGGGAGTCTCCAAGCCTTCGATTATTGTGTTGAAGTCATCAAGGACAGTCTGGAAGTGTTCGGGGTAAGTGGTGATGTTGGGAAACAAGTTGATGGCGATCTTGGCAGTGGTGGTGGGTTCCAAGTGATCGACCAAGCGGTACAGTTTCTTAAGCAAATGCAAGACGTTCAGAACACTGTCGAGGTTACCTGCCTCGTACTTGACGTCACCGACTTCGTTGACGAATGCAGCGGCCAATTCTTGGACGACAACAGTCTTTTGAATATTAGATAAGTTCAGTTGGGCCAGGGCATTGATATCGATCGAAATCCGATTAGCGGTGGTGGGAAGCACCTGGTCCACCCATTGTTTGAGGTAGGCGTTGAACGATTCGGTATAACCTTCGACATCAGCTCGGAAAGCAGCGTCTTTCAACCGAGAGAGCTTATCAAGGAGATCCTCGGGTGATTGGATTAGGGGTAGTAAACGCATTTTAGGGTCCAGTTGCGGTGGTTCCAGCATGATTGCGAGGAGAAAAGCACAGGGGTGGCGAGGGGTGGATGATTATACCTCCCATCGACAAGTGTCGGGACTGAGCAGACACTTACTTGCCATTTGGAGATCATTGAGGTAACTCGAGCACAGTGGTTGCCCTTGACGATATGCTAATCCAACGATTGTTGAGACGCCATCACCCCGAGAAGCTGGTGTTGGCGACGTCTTCCAACTCGGCGTAGGCCCCGTTCAACGCCGACAGCGGCGGCTGTTCCGGGATAAGCTGGTCCAACTGGCTGATCTCTTGTTTCAATAACACGTACTGGCGGCGAAGCGACTCAAGGTCGGCGTACTTGGCCCGGTAGTCTTCAGCTAAACCCTGGTAGCGGTGCTCAAGCGCCTGGAGCAGCCGCAGCTTCAGCTCAAACGCAGCGATCGTCGCTGCCTGGGAAGCGATTATCTGTTTCTGTTTGTCGATCTCGTCGTGGAGGAGAGCTTCCCTCAGCTGGTGGTGACTAAGCTTGTCCACGGCTTGGGTTAGCCGGAGTAATTGTGCCCCGATGTCATTGACGTCACCATCGGCGATGACTTCGGCTCGTAATTGGTCAAACTTGGCGATGAGATCGTGGATATCCTGCTTGGTGGCGTTACCCTCGGTGGTGACCTCGTTGGAGTACTCGGCGATCTCGGCCACGAGCCGCTGGAGGCTCAGGTTATTGTGTTTGGACCGCTCCCAAAGCTCGCCGACATCGACCCCGGTCTGCTTGGTTTGCGCCTCAATGGTTTCCAAGAGGGTTTTGATGTCGTGCCACTGAGGGTCCGTCGGGGGCGAAGGATGCGTCGTCGCCGGCGTTGGTGGTGACGGCAGGGGACTACCCGTCCGTCGTGCTGCTACCGGTCGGAGTGCCAGGCGGAAATCAACGTGGTGGTCGCCTCTGGTGGTCATAAACGGATAGAGAGCAGTGTTGTTGATGTGTTTGCCGTACGCGACCCTTTAAATGTAGATGGCGAGAAAGTGGGTAAATTTTGAGGAAAACACCATTACCAGGACCCCCAGGCGTTGCTGTCGAGAAAATTATAGCCATTAAACTCGGGTTGATTCCGAGAAAATGATAGCTATTAGACTAGGGTTAATTTCGATACTAAAGCCTCGACTATAATACTTGCAATTGTAGGTTCCAATTACCAGCTTTCAAAAAAACCAAAAAAAACATGATTTTTCCAATTTATAAGATGAAACATGACACAAGTTTCGACTAACTAAAATCATCAAAGAAATGATCATTTAATGTGGCGGTAGTCGTCGCTGGTAGTAGATTATCGGTGTCGTTTCTTACCTGCAGTACGCCTGCCTCATAAGTGCGATGCGATGCCATTATCGTACGCATCCCTACCACGATGAATAACCAAATGATGGGAGGCGGCGGCGTTGCCACCGTGCTCTGCTGCAACTGCGGGGTGCCCATGGACGGGCTGCTTGGCCTCGCCATGTGCTACGACTGCATCAAGCTCAACGTCGACATCACCGAGGGGATCCCCCGCGAAGCCAACGTCCTGTTCTGCCGCAACTGCGAGCGGTTTTTACAGCCTCCCGGCCAGTGGATCCGGGCCGAGTTGGAGCTGAGAGAGTTGTTGGCCCTCTGTTTGCGCCGGTTGAAGGGGCTCAACAAGGTGAGGCTCATCGACGCCCTGTTCATCTGGACCGAGCCCCACTCGCGGCGGATCCGGGTCAAAGTCACCGTCCAGGGGGAGGCGATGGGCAACACCATTGTCCAGCAGACGTTTGAGGTTGAGTACGTGGTGGTGGCGATGCAGTGTCCCGACTGTGCCAAGCTGTACACCGTGAACACGTGGAAGGCGACGGTGCAGATCCGCCAGAAAGTGCCCCACAAGCGGACGTTTTTGTACCTTGAGCAGTTGATTTTGAAGCACAACGCCCACGTCGACACCATTCTGATCCAGGAGCTGAAGGACGGGCTCGATTTCTTCTATTCCCAGAAAAACCACGCGGTGAAAATGGTCGACTTCTTGCTGGCGGTGGCGCCGATCAAGCTGAAACAGCTGAGCGAGCTCATCAGCATCGACACCCAGCTGGGCAACTCGCTGTACAAGTTTTCCTACTCGATCGAGATCGCCCCCATCTGCCGCGACGACCTCGTCGTGTTGCCGAAAAAGCTTGCCCACGCCATGGGCAACATCCTGAGACTTGTCCTCTGTTCCAAAGTGACGAACCTGCTCCAGTTCTTGGACGTCAACACCCTCCAGACCGCCGACCTCCAGGCCGGGGTCTACTGGCGGGCGCCGTTCGCGTCGCTTTTGGACGTGTCCCAGTTGGTGGAGTTTATCGTGTTGGACGTCGAGCCCACCGGCGACCAACGGGGCCGCTGGGTGCTTGCCGACGTCGAGGTGTGCCGCGCCGCCGACATGGGGGTTAATGACCACACCTTCTACGTGCGCACCCACTTGGGGGCGATCGTCCACCCGGGGGACCTGGTGATGGGGTACTACTTGGCCAACACCAACTTCAACCTGGAGTTGTGGGACGAGCTCGACACCGCCAACTTGCCCGAGGTGGTGCTTGTCAAGAAGCACTACCACCGCAAGAACCTGAAGAAGAAGCTGCGCCAGTGGAAGCTCAAGCGGATGGCGCGCGAGCACCAGGACATCGTCGCCCACGACGACTCCCGCCTGGCCCGCCAGGACCAGGAACGCGCCGAGCGCGACTACGAGTTGTTCTTACAGGAGTTGGAGGAGGACGACGAGTTGCGCCAGACGATCAACTTGTACAAGAGCGGCGCCGCTGCCCCTGGTGCTGCTGGTGGTGCCGCCGCCGACGACGACATGGACGACGACGACGTCGCCCCTGAAGTGGGGCTCGACGAGTTGTTGGACGAGCTTGATGACATGAACTTGGAATAGACGGTACCGTCGCCCACCGCTACCGGTAGACGTTATGAGCAGGGGTACGGCCCCCCATTTACGAATAGAGATCGCTATGTAGCTAAATCACGTGATAATTTCACCATTACTGAAGTTGATAGTGTAACATGCTTGACAGATACTTGTAACCCTCTGGTCAAATGCTGGCTAATTTTCGTAAAAAGAAGTTATAATCATTATCAGGATTAATTAAGGTATGTTTTAACTGGTAGATTTACCCGTATCTGATGATCCATTTATTGTTCGTTTACACAACTACCAATTGTTTACGGTGGTCGTCATTTCACTATGTACAGGGGTGAGTTGGCGAGAGTCACCGCCACGGGTTCCACCCGCGGACGCCGTCCCGCCGGTCCTGGCGTTTCTTCTTCAGAAAGTCCTTGCGGCACTCGCGGTAGGCGTCGAAGAAGTCCTGGCACACCAAGCGGTCGTCCTGGTTGCGCAAGATGCAGTCCAACAGTGCCTGGCGAGACTGCTCACAGGGGTCGTAGAACTTGCTTGGCTCCTTCGTCAGCCACCGGTACTTGTGGCGATGGTTTTCGGGGTTATCCGGGTAGAACTTGTAGGCGCCGTCCTTGGTGAAGTCGACCTTGCTCTTGTCCATCTCCACTGCGTCCGACTTGAGGTGGGGCGAGCCGTCACGAGCGGCGCCATCGCCAGCGGCGGGTGGGGGCAGCTGGGGGTCGCCGAGGGGCGGGGTTGATTCAGCAGCGGCCATGGCCTTTGAAATGGTGGGTCAGTGCGCACAAACAGTTAGCGCCGGGAGTCGCGGTGCCGGCGTCGGAATAAATTCCGACAAATACAGGTAGGAGTGGTACTTATGGTCATTCTATGGTTCAATTCGATAATTAGGAGAAGCCTGAAATTTATCAATCTTACCGATCACAGATAGAGTAGTGCTTCTACGTATTCAGATTTAACTCTATCTGAGTCGTAACATCCTCCACCACGACGTCTTGCTTTATTTGAGATACTGTATTTTCACCTCTCACAAAACAATAAGTAAATGTCTTAATCAATTTAATCTATAATTATATTGTATCACATGACTTATGTTTCATTTGCCCACCCTTTTGTTTTCCTTCGAGGCCTGTTTTTTGTGCGAACTCTGACTACGGGTCGTCGGGCACCATGGCGGACTCGAAGTTTAAGTACAAGATCGAGATCCAGCAGATGATGTTTGTCACGGGGGAGGTGAACGACCCCCCGGTGGAGACGACGAACATCATCGAGGAGATCGTGCGGGGCCAGGTGATCGAGATCCTCCTCCAGGCGACGAAGACGGCCGCCCTCCGCGGCACCAAGCTGATCGCCCCCGAGGACGTCATCTTCCTCATCCGCCACGACAAGGCCAAAGTCAACCGGTTGCGGACGTACTTGCTGTGGAAGGACGTCCGCAAGAACGCCAAGGACCAGGAGAACGGCGGCACCGAAGGGCTCATTGAGGGCGACGCCGGCGGCGGCGGCGGCGGCGCTAGTGGCAGCGGCGCTGCTGGCGCCGCTAACCCGGCCTCCGACCTGGCCAAGATGTTGAGCCGCTACAAAAAGCTGAAGATCCGCCTTCCGTGGGAGCTCCAGTTCATGTTCAGCGAACAGCACTTGGAGACGGCGGAGGAGCTGGAGCAGATCGACGACGACGAGAAGGCGGCGTCGTTGGCGCTGTTGAAGCGGTTGAAGATGGCGGACGACCGCACCCGCAACATGACCAAGGAGGAGTACGTCCACTGGTCCGAGTGCCGCCAGGCCAGTTTCACCTTCCGCAAGGCCAAGCGGTTTCGCGAGTGGGCCCACATCGCCCAGCTCTGCGACCTGCGCCCCAACGACGACGTCATCGACATCTTGGGCTTTTTGACGTTCGAGATTGTGTGTCTGCTCACCGAGGAGGCGATGGCGATCAAAAACCTGGAGGAACGCCTTCACCAGTTGAAGCTGAAGGAGGAGAAGGTCAAGGACAGCAAGCCCAAGCAGCAGAAGCGCAAGTACTTGTTCGACAAGCCCGACGAGTTGGCCAAGCCCATCATGCCCTACCACATCGAGGAGGCGTGGCGGCGGCTCCAGGCGAGCGACTTCAAGCACGTCGCCGCCCGGTCGTTTGGCGGCGGCCGCATTAAGAACCGCACCCGCCTCATCTAGCGGGATAGCTGTGGCTAACCGACGGAGACCAGTTCAGCGAAGATGGTACCAGCGTAATCTACACGATACAAAATGGCCAAATTCCTTCGCGGATAATGGTCACACCTATAACTACAGTGAATACCGGACCCGGAGAACGAGTAAGGAACCGGTTCGAGAAATTGACTCGGCGATCGCGCTGGAAGCGGTTAATGGGGTCGGCCACCACGTCAACGGCAGCGATGCTTCATGCTGGACTAGGGTTGTCGTTTTTCGGGGGACAACTTGGGGCCGGTGTGAGTCAGACGTGGTAGTACTACCACGCTGATAGTCCCCTTTCCCGGGTTCGGATCGAGTTGTCAACCGTATAAGCGATATCTGTTCTCGGTAACAAGCCCGCCCAGGTGTACTGCTTTTTGGCTGAGAATTGCGTTCGAGATTTGTAAAACCAATGAGGTCGCTCAAAAGCAGGTCCAAGGTGTTAGCACCAATGATGAAAGAAGGGTTAAAGATCTCGCGCTTTGCCGTCGAATTCACCGCCAAAGCCTCTAACGTCTCATAAATAACTTTTACATTGTCTGCTTATAATTATGAAGAGACCGTAGCTTTTACCACCGGATACTCATGGCCCGAAGACAGATATGTATCGTACACTAAATCCATGAAATGTCTCATACTTGTTCTTATCGACGAGTGTATTTCAATGCGTCCTACTACTCCTCTCAGACGCTTACAATTTGTTCTTGCTTATTCGCAGATATCGACGGTAGGCGGCTCTCTTAGTCTAAAATCGTTTGTTACAGGTAGAAAAATGGATAACAAAATAAACAAAATGTATGATAGAGTACGTAGACTTTAATGGGCTTAAAATGGCTATGTTTGCATTAAAAATCTTAGAAAAATACTCATAAAATACGTATACCTTAGAGCGCCTTATCTCACCAAATTGGCGATCGCGGGGTCATCGCGGATGGCTACCAGTGACCCCGTTGTCTGGGACGTTGGCTCCCAGGCGTGTGGCAAGTGCAAGCAGCGTGATGCCGTGCTTATCGCCCGGCGGGAGCCCTACTGTGGCGGGTGTTTTGTCCGCTTCATCCGGGGGAAGCAGCGGAAGCCGATGGGGGCCGACGACCGCTACCGCGTCCGCTACCACCGCCGCCCCGGCGACGACCCCCGCCACCGGGTGGCGGTGGCGGCGCTGGGCGGGGTGTCGCTGGTTGTCCTCGTCGACTGTGTGGCGGGGATGCTCCAGGACCAGGCCCACGCCCATAAGGGACGCACGGGGTTCGAACTCGTGGTGGTGACGATCGCCACCGACGACGCCGACGACACTGTGAGCGCCCGGCTCCACCAGCTTGCCGCCCGGTTCCCCGAGGTGTCGGTGGTGGTCAAGCAGGTGCCGGTGGCCAAATATATCGACGACAAGACGCTCTACCGCCTCCGGATCACCCCGGAGTTTGCCGCGGTGGTGGGGCCCCCCGTCGCCCATCCCATGACGGTGGGCGAGTTGCTTGCCATGTGTGTCAACAAGCTGAGCGGCGAGGACCTCTTGGAGGTCGTGCGCCACCAGTTGTTGCTTGAGTTTGCCGTTGCCGAGGGGTGCCACACCGTGTTGTACGGCCACAGTTTGACGCGGATTGCCAGCGACATCATCGCGTTGACGGTGAAAGGGCGCGGGCTGGCGATCTACCGGTCGCTCAACAACCGCACCGAGACGGTGGCGGGCGCCGCCGCCGACGTCGTCGTCATGTACCCGTTGCGCGACGTCCTCGGCGCCGAGGTGAGTGCCTACGCCAAGGTCGCCGGCCTCGACGAGTTGGCGGCGACTTCGGGGGTGCCCAAACTGAAAATCACCAAGAACTTGACGATCCGTGACCTCACCGCCAACTACTTCGCCCGGTTGGAGGCGACGGGGTACGCGCTGACGGCGCTGGCGGTGGTGAAGATCGGCGATAAGCTTGCGCCCCCTAAAGGCGAGTCTCAGGGGACGTGTGGCGTGTGTGGCATCGAGGTCTACCACAACCCCCAGCGGTGGCTCCAGCGGATCACGGTGGAGCTGGCGGCGCCGCTCGACACCGACGACGAGCGGGCGAACCTCGCCGCCTACGAGGCGCTGGCGCCAGCGCTGGCGGCGGCGGCGGCGGGTGACGGCGCCGCCCTCGAGTTGTGCTATGGGTGTACGGTGTCGCTTAAAGGTGCCGCCGCCGACATGGCGTGGCCGGTGAACCCCGAGAGGTTGGGCCCCCGATACAACGCCGACGACGTCATCAACGAGCTCTCCTTGGAATGATCGAATAGAAAAGAGAGATGTTTGTATTCCCGAGCCTATACTTGGCAAGGTATCCACAATTGCCAGTAGTTTCCGTAGTATATAGAACCAGTAATTCAGTATCCATATGAATAAGATAATAGAGTTGGTAAGGATACAATTCACACATGTTTTACATTATAAAATTTCACTCTTGTTTAATCTAGACGACGCCTTAGAGATAACTCAAGTGTACCATATCTCGACGACTCTAGTTTACATCCAATGGTATCAGGGGCAAATATATGCCCGTAGTTACTCAGCAAAAGCAGGTTACTGTCATCCACTCCCCCAGGGAATCGAACCGTGGTCTTTTCCGTAGGGGCATGGTAGCCATTACAAACAGACGCTTGGTATACTCTTTGATCAGATCAATTTAAAGAGAGTTTTCTTTACAAAATTCACTGGAGGCCGTTAGTAGTGTTCTTGACCAGTAAATATATATTTCTCTTGAATACATGACAAAGCAAACAAGTCCAGTACCACCGAATAAATCGCTGTAGATAAGAATGATACAAAAGATACTACTTGCTGTATGCTCTCACTTTCCAATTCAACAATCTTAAACTCTGTCTACTGGTTTATTTGGATTCGTTGGAGATATCATCCCTGTCTTATGTTTGCTATCTCTATGTATTGTATCCTAATTAGTGGTTAAAGATTCAATTTACTTACACTAATTCAACTTTTTCTTGCTCATCTTCACTTTCCAATTCAATAATCACACTCTGAATACTAGGCCACTTACCGATAACATCAAAAGCCTTGGCTTATCTAATGAGAATAGTACAAAAGATGCTACTTGCGTTTACTTATGTTCTTGTATGATTTTTAGTTACTACCGTGGTGTTTTCGTGTCTCGTGAGCCGGCTACACCCGCTGTTCGAAGCGGCGGCCGGTGGCGGTCTTGCGCGTCTTGTCGTCGTCGTCGGCGTCGGGTTTGGCCCGGTTCAACACCTTCAAGAAGTCCTTGACCCGGGTGCGCATTCTCGAGTGCATGTAGGCCTTGAAGCACTTGATGTGGTAGTGGAAGTAGTCGCGGAACACCTGGACGTGGGTGATACAGTACTCGCGTTTGTGGGGCAACAAGTGGCGCGGGAACAACACCAAGGTGACGTAGCCCTTGTTGTCGTTGTGCGCCGCGGGGACCAACGCCGCGATGTCCAGCGGGGCGTCGCGGTGCGAGTACAACACCTGGGGGGCGTTCTGGACCCGCCGCTTGCGGGCGTCGACAAACTCTTGCAAAAACACCTTGCCGAAGATCTTGTCGGTTTCGTCCTGGAACACCGTCGAGAAGATCACCGTCACCCGGTCAAACAGCGGCTTGATGTAGATGCCCTCGTCGTGGCCGCGGTACTTGATGACAAGCACCGGCTCGTCCGCCAACTGCGCCTTGACGTCCTCGGCGTAGGTGTCGACGTTGCCGTACTCGCGGGCGAGCTCGTCGTAGCGGGCAAACGCCTGCTCGAACGGCGCCGCCATCGCGTGGCGCTTGAGGAGGGCGATATCCCCTACCGCTTCGGCGACGTAGGCGGCGTCGCCGTGGGCGCCAAGGGCGCCGGTGTCGACGGCGAGGGTGTAGTTGTACCCCTGTTCGGGGGCCGCCGCCACCGTGATCTCGGGGTAGCGCCCGTACTTGCTGTCCAAGTAGGCACGGGCGCCGTAGCGGGCCAAGTCGTCCCAGCACTTGACGTAGAGACTGATGATAAGCGTCGTCTTCGCCTCGGGCGCCGTCGACACGTGGAAGGTGCAGAAGTCAAAGTCGGAGACAATGCGGTCGACCAGGCGCAACGGCTCCCCCTGCGGGTGGTGCACCCGTTCGTTCACCGTCTTCTCAAGCAATAAGTTCGTCTGTTCGATCTGGAGCATGGCTGGACGAGTGGTGTGCGAGCGATTGTCTCGCCGCCTAGTGCGCGCCTAGTGCGCGAGGGCGCCAGGGTGACCAGCGCTTGCGGCGGCGCCCCCGTACTAGTGTAGGAACTAGGCGTGAATTGAAATCATCATTTGAGGAGAGAGTGGGCACCAATGGTTAGACCCCGATTTAGCCGCCACAGTGATCGCATCTGATTAGTACCCACAAGCGGGCGATTGCGACCGCTTGCGACCGCGGCAATAGGGGCAGCGACAACAACGACAACGCCACCCGCCCCCCTTGAGCCAGCGACATCCAGTAGTTTAACCGTCTTTGTTAGTCTAGCAATGCTCAATTGGAATGGGGGTCAGTGGCAGTGGCGATAACGACGAGGAGGCTGAGCAATTAGAATGCCTAGATCGTGGGCAAAGAGGCCAATGGGGACGGGCTCGGCACCTCTCATTAGTAACCGCCCCGTTTGTGACTCGCCCCTGTCCCTCCGGAGTTTTAGACCACCCGCGGCCAACGGGCATCCCCCCTAGCCACGTGCACCTCATCTCCCCGTAGTGCCGTAGGTAAGAGTTGTCGCCGTCGTCGCCATCGTCGCCACAGTGCTTGTCGTCGCTCGTCGCCAGCCACACGGCTACGGGGCCACAAAGCGCCAGGGCAGACGACAGCAACGGCCCCGATGTCCGATCGGGGACAAACCCAAGAAATTCTTGGTGGCACAAACGGCTCCATCACAGGAAAATCTTCCCTACGTCAAGCCTGATGTCACCGGCGCTTGGCTATGCACCTTTACATGGTCTCCCCATTGACGTGTGACAGGGGGGGTTTCACATCGATTTTACAAGGCCCTCCATCTCAGCCGTAGCCGTTACGAGTAAGGAAAACCGTATCTCGAAAGATATCAGCCCATCCGTTGTCGGTAGCAGATCCGTAGTATTGTTTATCAGCGCCGCCGGGACTTTGTGGGCGGCGAGACTCCCCTCCGACGTTTATAACCCCTATTACGCCATGCCGAAAAAATAAAATAATCCCTGAGTGGGCCGCACACGGAATTGGCAAAATAAGGTTTTTTTTTTTTTTGGTTTGCAAACGCTTCCCATCAAGGTAAGTGGGGCTGGATTCGACACCGGAGTTGTCAGCAGATCGTGCCCAGCCGCCTTCACCTGCGGTGGTGGTGGCTGCGAGCGTTCCCCTCGTTAGTGGTCGGTAGTGGAGCCTTAGCCTCACCCCGTCGTAAATAATCAGGGTTATGTACGCGGGAAAATCATTGCCCCGATTAGAGGTCAAGATTATCGCCTACTGAGTGAAAGTGGATCGATTGCCAGCGATTGTGGCGGGGCCCTAGGCCACTAAACAGAGATAAGAGGCTAGCCCGGGTTGTTCCGGATGCCAAGAAATAGAGTATAACCCGTGAGGTACCACACTTAATCGCGCGTCGACAAACCCGGCGGTGACGCACTACGATGCATAACGATGTCGTTGACCAAACCTTACATTTGAGATAAGTACAAAAAATGGGGGCTACACTTTTTCTTGAACTGCCAATTTTTGCTTCGCTGCCGCGGCGGCCTTTTTCACCTCGGCTCGGCGCTGCATCTCTTTGGCAAAGAAGGGGATGAGGAAGTACAACACCGTGTTCGACACCACCACCCACGCCACAAGCACCCCGTAGCATCGGCCAATGTGGCCCTTATAGGTGTCGAAAAAGATCACCTTAACAATTTCGTAGCAGTTGTAGATGGGCCACGCATAACCATACCGGTAGAAGGACGCCGTGAGCGCCATCGGCGTGTAGGTGGGAGCAACGTTAGAGATGACCCAGAAATTCAACCAGAACCCAATCAATGTCGGCAACGTCAAGATAAACACATGCGCCATGATCTCGTTGACGGTGCCCACCGCCGTCATCGTCAACCAGTTCGTCATCCAGTAAACGACAAACCCGGCTCGGCCAAACGCTCGAGTAAAATCAAGCTGGAAGGCAAGCGACACTAGCGAGTAAATCAACGATAGCCACCAGTACGACATTACCAGACAGAAAATACGGTACGCCAAGTAGTGGCGCTGCTTCAACTTGGCGTCGGCCACCTGATTGTGCAAATCGCGGAAGATATTGAACTGGAATGACGTCACGAGGATCATGTAAATCAACCCCACTTGTGCCGGCGCAAGTACGGTGGGTTGAGTCACGGGTCGCAAGTCCTTAGTGACGATCGTCAACGGCTGGCTGATCAACAGCCACCCCTCCGTCAACGCCCTCGAAACATTTTTGCCATTCTGCTCCATGTAATGAATAATGCGACCCGTCAACGAGTCCTGATCGGCCAAGATCATGTTTTGCACCGCCTTGCAATTTTTGACAATGATGGCGGGAATTGCCTGGAAGTCCCGCCCCGACTCATAAACCATTTCCCACGTCTCTTTGCTGGTAGAATACGACGTGTTGCCTTCAGACAATGCCTGATAAAGGTTATAGGTAGCATCCTTTTTAACATGCAACGCGCCCCACCACTGTTGTTGGTGCACCATCTTATCAATGGCTTCCTCGACGGTGGTGGCCCCTTCTGGCCAGATTGAGGTGATGTTTTCTGGGGTGTAGATGTGCCAATCACCTAGTTTGCGAGCCTCAGGCGTGGCCACTTCGCGAATGAGTCGGTTGCCGATGATCGGGGGCACCCCGTCGATGGTTTTGGTGTCCTCAATCATCACCAACATCTTCAAGTACTTCTGATGGTCGATTTTATGCATCATCGACCCCCAATATATCGAGTAAATTCCAAGCATCGACGCTGCCATAATTGCGTACATTATGACGATTTTCATGGTGATCTTGCGCCGGATGGGGCCAAGATGGGGGTGGAAAAACAGCTTCCCTTTCTCTATCATTGTCGCAAGCGAGGTTGCCGTCAGCATTTGCGTTGACACTCGATGGAGGGTGTCTTCCGGTTGTTTTGCATCATCGGTATCGTCGCCATGATAGGCCACGACCTCGTGTCTAATGCTGGAGACGCCGTTTTCAATTGAGTATTTGGTGGAGTCTGATGAAGACGAGTTCATTTGATGGAGAGATACCAGCGTTGGCTAGAGATTTATACCGTACCAGCCCTAAAATTCCCGCCTATTGTTTCCGCTGATCATAGATATATGCAAGCCACACAAGATACATTAAACTACGAGTAGTTAACGCAGATAAAGACATTGACCCCGCTATTAAAGGAGTAGCCGTTCGGTGTCGGCATCCCTCGTCGGTGCCAATGTCATTTACTAACTTTCAGGGTCTTCTTCGACGGAATCGGAATACGAACCGTTTGTCGCCTTATTTTTTGCACCACTGGTGGTGGCTTGGCCTTAAGCCAACTTGCATCAGGCTAACGCACAGGGATGGCTCGCTGCAAGGGAACAAAGACGCTGCCGGTAGGTGCATATTGTGACACTTTTCGATTATATGAAGTCTTGGCATCGGAACGTGGCACCACCACGACCCTGGCGGTCGCCCATGTCTAAGGTACCGGGCAACGCCGTCAGTACTCATTCAAAAGTGCCGGTTTCAAAATTTTAATTTCACGAAGGGCGGGCGGCGACACTTTGTGGCGGATATGTACCTCGCCGGCTGGTGGGGTCAAACCGTCGGGAGTGTGAGGTGTGGGTCTCGATTGTGTAATCTCAAGGTTTGTGGCAAACATCAGCGAGCAGGAAGGCTGTGCAACCACAAGTGGTTAGCAGCGCCTGCGCGGACTATAAGCTGCACGCACCTAAAGCCACTGCAGCGAACAAATCCATCGGGGTCGTCCGGATAGGTGCTCGGAGCTTCGTCCGAGGCAGCGGACAATGCTTGCTCGCCAAGGTAGGCGGAGCTTTTGACGGGGTGGCGATAGTAGTTATGGGTACCATTTGCTGATACCTAGGTCGGGGGTATATACTTTGGTGACGTTGATTTTCTGAGGATTTCGGCTTGATGGAAGTACCGGATGTCGTCGAAGTCTCCTGACAATGTCGATAACCTCACCGTTTACCGCCACGTGTGGGGCGGTGAGTGGTTTTCTCCCTACGGGAGGCGAGGTACCGGTAATTGTTTCGCTTTTCACCTTAGTGGCTATGCTTTCCCACACCATCAAGCTTGTCGGAGTTTTTGCGACGTTCTCCAAGAAAAAAAAAACAAAGAAAAGTAATGCTTAGTTGACAGGGGACGATGGCGCTCACGGTGACTAAGCCTTTAGTCGGCTTTGTTTGGTTTCCCTTGGCGAAAGTCTGCTACATGACTGCTACCATTGTCAGAAGAGCCTAAGCAGAGAAGGTTTCTTTTCCTATTACGCTCATGCCAATTCCGGCAGGCCCCGAACTCCGAAGGCACAATTTTTCATGCCCATCAGAAATGACTCAAAATATCCCCGATGCGACAATGCGTCCTCTTTGGGGAAGCTCAGGGAACGTAGCAGTTTAAGGATAAAACTCCCGAAATTACTTCGACAAAAACGTTGTCTAGATCGATGGATCATAGACATTCCCGCCTCAGTCGTGCCTTTAGGGGTCATTGTGGAATCAAGGTGAGCACAAGCCTTTAACTACTGGGGATCGACACTACCATTGTTGAGGTGGGATGAAACTGTGGCGCAACCAGCATTTCGTCTGGGGGGGCAGTATTTTGATCTGATGTCCCCCATTGGATTTACACAACTTTACGTAAATTAATAGGAGCCGACCACAAAATTGCCTCACTCGCAATCATTGTTGCAAATCACCATTGTCTGTTATTGTATCCAATATTGTAAAGGAAGCGGCAATTCAGGCGTGCCCCGCTTCGGCTTCTGGTCGGTAATGACGTATCCCGGCAAGTTTACGGGGGCGACACAACGCCTCGATTTACGATCGCCCTACACGGTTATGTACGGATGGGGTCATGCAAGTGTATAGTACATCTAAGAGGTATATGTTCAGTGGTTGTGGTGGTGGTAGTAGATCTTGTTTTTGCCGTCGCGGTCGACCTCACGCAGCCACCCGGGGATGTCTTCGCCGCTGCCGCCGACGGGCCGTTCCAACACGACGTTTTCGAGCCCGAGGGCGTCGGCGAGCCACCGGTGGTTCACCATGCCGCCGGCGTCGGCGCGGGCCTCGGGCTGGATCGCGAGCATCGGCATGAGGAAGTCGGCGATCTCGTCGGCGTCGGTGGCAGCGAACTTATACTTTTCCACCAACACCTCCTTGAGCCCCCACGGCTTGAGCTTGGCGATGCGGGTGAGGTCGCCGCGGGTGTTGAAGAACTCCTTGGTGTAGAACAGCTCCTTGAGCATCTGGCGGGGGAACGGCCCGATGAGCTCGATGATCTGGGCGATGTGGTCGTCGTCCTTGGTGTAGGTTTTGCCGTCGCGGGGGTCGAACAAGTAGTCGCCGGTCAAGAGCTCGAAGATGAGACAGGCAAACAGCCACAAGTCGGCCAGCGCCCCCCAATGGTACCCCAAAAGCACCTCGGGCAGCCGGTACTGGCGTGTCTGGATCTCGTCAGTGAAGTGGTGGTTCACCCAGCACGCGTTGCCCAAGTCGGCGATCTTCACCGAAATGAGCTCATTCTCGTTGATGATGTCGGGGGGGACGGCGCCGGCGTCGTCCACCGAGTAGCCGGTGGCGGCGGTGCCTCCGGCGCCGATGGTGGTCCCCAGGATCAGCATGCTCAGCAACAGCAGGTGTAGGGGGGCGTCAGCGGCGGCGGCTTCCTCGGCGTGGGCCATCTCGATGATCAGCCCGTAGGCGCCGATGTCGGCGCCCAGCGCCAGCATGAGCGGCAGCCGCACGGGGGTGTTTTGTGTCAGCAGCGACAACCCCCTGACGTTGGTGAACGACTTGTTGAGGGTCCTGAGGGGCGACGGGAGCGGCTGCGACCCCGTGATCAACGTCTGGCGGCGCGAGCGGCGCCCGTTGCGCCCAAGGGACGGCGCCGCTGTAGTTGGTGCTGGCGTCGCCGCCGGGATCAGCGTCGCTTGCGCCAGGAACAGCAACTGGTGGGCGTCGGCGTCGACCAACAGCGCCGCGCTCGCCTTCAGCCGCCGCAGCGCCTTGCGCTGGAGCCGCTGGTGGGTCTCTTCCTCCTCGACTAAGCGCACGATCAGCTCGACGTCGCCAATCTCGATGAGGACGTTCTCCGGCTTCATGTCAGTGTGGATGACCTCGCACTTGCGGTGGAGGAAGTCGAGCGCCAGCAACAACTGCTTGGCGATTTGCTTGACAAACACGATGGGGATGCCGCGGTGCTTGTACCGCCTAATGAGGCTGAGCAAGTTCTCGCCCAACACCTCGAACACCATCACCACGTGAGTGCCGTTGGTGCCCTTATGGGTGAAGGTGTCGAGGAGCTGGATCACGTGGTCGTGCCCGGGGTGGAGGACGTCCAGCGTCGTGATCTTGTCCAACATCTTGATCTCGTCGAGCGCCGTCTCCGTGTACTGGCGCGCCAGGCGCACCACCTTCATCGCCACATGGCTGTGCTTGTCGTTGTCGCGGGCGAGCCACACCGTCAGGAAGTGGCCCCACCCCAACTTGCGCACCAAGGTGTACTTGCCGTTTTTGTAGGTCTCGCCGATGAAGCACGGGTGGTAGCCGCCGGGGGCGTAGTCGTTCAAGTCCTCTTCCTCGAGCGGGTTGAGCGGCGGGCGCGCGGCGGCGTCGTCGTCGCTGTCGCTGTCGCTGGCGTCGGCGCCGCCATCAGCAGCGCCCCCGCCACGCGGCGGCACCAGCGTCGCCGTCTCAAGATTGCCGGCCACCAGCGGCGCCCCCGCCAGGATAAGCGTGGGGAGGCGCAACGGCGCCGGGGCCAGAGCCAGCAGCGCCGCCGTCGCCTCGCCGGGCGCCAGCTGCTCGGACCGCTGGATCCCGAGCGTCAACTTCAGCTTGTGCATTCAGTACGCCCCGCAAGTGTCGTCAGATAGGAGCCGATGGTGTTGCGGGTATGTGACGGTCACAGGGATGGGGGAGGAGGGGGAGGGGAGTCGAGCTGGAGGTGGTGGGCGGCGGAGGGGATGTGTTTATCAGAAGCTTTTTTCCCAGTGCGGCGTTTAGGCCGCGACTACCATACGAGGCGTGTGGTTACCAATTTAGTACGACACCGAGGCGAAGAAGAGGATGATGAATTTACTAGTATCAACGAGGAGAAGATGATATTAATTCATTGGTGTTAGGTGGTTATTTGTTGTTGTTTTGTTCTCCTATTTTGGTATTATATTTGAGAAGGTTTTGACGAGTCTGTGTCGATGAGATGAGCGCGGACAAAGTGACACTGGCCACAACCCTCGATGGCGTACTCAGGCCAAATGTAACCATTGTATTTAACGTTAACTAGTGCAGTTTCGCATTGACACTAAGTAGATATGGAAAGTGTGGATGGATGGTGAGGCATACCAAGCCCTAACTGGACTCTAGCAGAACGCTTGTTAAGTACTCGTTATGGTTTCACGCTGAATTAAATACGTTCTAACATTGTGTGAAACTGTAACTTCAACGTTTAACCCCTCGTGACACCTTTCCCCTTCATTTGACCATACATCGATGAGCCTGTTCTCGAGAGCTTGCACTCCAGCAACATTGGTCTTTGCAGTTGGGTTGGAATGGCCTTATATCCGATGAATAAAATACTAGTTACTACGGCATTCGTATCCACCGTAGGCGTAAATTAGAAACCAACACTTCCGACTTTTCCGACACATTCGACACTCCGACACTCCGACACTCCGACACTCCGACTCCGACACTTCCGACACTCATAATATGTCACATCGCACGATCGCGATCTCGCGCCAGACCACACCCCACCATGGACCCGTCGCCGCTGCTGGCGCTGGCGCTGCCGGCGCCCCCGCCGCGACGAGCGACGCTGCTGCCGTCGTCAGGCCCCCGGCGCCTGCTCAAGCGCCACAAGGCCCTCGGCACCGCGACCAGCGCCGCCGCCATCGCCGCCGCCCGCGCCGTTGTCGCCGCCGCCGTCGCCACCATCGTCGCCGGGGCGCCGCTCGCGACCAGCTACAGCGACGCCTACGCCCACACCGAGCGCCTTTGCCGGAGCAAACACCAGGAAATGCTGCAATTGGCCGACGCCGTCCTCGCGGAGATCGGCGCCGGGTTCGCCGCCGAGTGGCAGCCGCAATTGCGCCGCCTGGTGACGACGGCCGGAGGCGCCGCGGAATTTATCACGGTGTTATCTCGGTGGCAGGCGATATCTGAAACGCTCCTGAAGGTGCTTTTGCCGCTCGACCGCGGCTACTTGCGCCACCACCTGACGAAACCGAGCATTCGGCGCCGGTGTATGATGCTTGTGGTCGAGGAAATTAAGGAGCACACCGCGGTGTTGAACCAGTGGCACTTGGAGATGGTGATGGTGAAACAACCGGTGACCCTGGCGGCGATGTCGCAGTTAGTGTTTCAAGTTTCGGAAGCGCTCCCCGAAGCCAAACTCCGCACCAGCGTGCTCGAGCGGCTTGCCCTCGTCTATACTGAACGCGGCTCCCAGTGGCTTACCACCGAGCCAAACTACGTGGCGCGCTGCCTTTCGGAGATTGCTTCCGAAATCAGCTACTGGCAGCGGTGTGGCTATCCTCAGTCGTTTGTCAATGACTTACGCAAGCGGCTCAAATGGGCGGTGGTATTCTCCCACTTTGACGCCGTCGCCGCCGCTGCCCTCCCGCAATTGTTGGCGCCCGGCGCCGCCGCCAGCACCCTCATTAAAGCGCTCGTCGCCATGTGTCGCGCTGCCAGCGACGACTACGGCTACGACGCCGTCGCCGCCCTCCGCCACCAGGCGCAACTGTTTTTGACGCGACAATTCGATGACGTTATCGCTACCCACACCCGCCGCAAACGGTTTGTTTCAGACCTTGTTTCAGCTTACCACCAGTGGCGCCACCGGTTTGCTGCATTTACCGACGCCGAACCGCGATTAGAGTACGCATGGCGCCAGCTGTTTACCCAGGCGGTCAACGGGCTGGCTTATGTCAGCAAGCACGTCGCCCTCCACCTTTGTCGCCACTGTGACACGTGGTTTAAACACCACCCGACGCTGTGGGCCGAGTTCAAACGCGAGGTGTTGGTGGTGTTTGAGGCGCTCAACGCCAAGCTGGCGTTTGTCGCTAGTTACCGCCAGTTTGTGGCGAAACGGTTGTTACTGGTCGACGGGGTGGGACCCGATTACGTAAGCGAAGAGCGCGGCGTCGTCGACGGGTTCGCCGGCGTCATCGGCGACGACGACGCTAATATCGTCGCTATCCGCCGCATGGTGACCGATTGGGCCACGTCACGCGACCAGTACTCCCACCTCTACGCTAACGACGATGACGTTAACCCCGATAATATTGACGTCAACGTGCTTGTGCTTCGCCACGACGACTGGCGCGACGTGCCGAAACCCGCGGGAACCCCTGCGTTGGTGGTGCCACCCGTGTTTCAAAAATTGGTCCACCGGTTCGCCCAAGACTACGCCTCCACCTCCCAGCGCCACCAGCGCCAGCGGCTCGATTGGACCAACTGGTGGACGCACAAGGTGACGCTCGCCGTAGCGTTTGACCGCGGCACCCGCGAAGTGCAGGGGAACATGGTCCACGCCAGCGTGGTGGCGCTCCTCTGCGCCGGCGGCGACCCCCAGCCGCAGTATACTGAGGCGGAATTGACTACCAAATTGGGGGTGGAGGCGGCGACGACGGAGCGCATTGTCTCGCCGTTAGTGGACAAAGGGCTTATAGTTTGTGACCCCACCACCCAGTTGTTGCGGTGGAATTTTGCGTTCGACGATGGTTCCGATAAGAAGATTAAACTTAGTGTGGGTAAGGATAAGGCGCTGGCGGCGCTGGCGCTGGCGACGCCCTCGGAAGCTGTTGCCGACGCCGCTAATGCCGACGCGGCGGAGTTGGCGGCGCGGCGCCACCAGTTGCAGTGTCAGTGCGTGCTTATGCGGGTGATGAAACAGGAGCACCGTTTGGGGTATGCTCAGTTGATGCACCGGTGTCTCGACTATTTCGAAGCGCAAGGCCAGCTGGTGTCGCCGCGCCAGCTTAAACGCGAAATGGACGCCTTGCTCGCCGCCGACGACCTCAAACGGCTCGACAACGGCGACATTGAGTACGTGCCGTGACCCCCTGGCGGAGTCTTTGTGGGCTCCGAGGGCTTCTGGCGATTAATTACTCGAATAGGCTTGAAACAGGCACCATTTTCACTGCCATGTGATATTTACACGTTTTGTGGTCGCACTGTGAACCTGACAAATGAGGGGTGCGCGCCACAAAACGGGAAATAAGCGCACAATACCCCGCGAGCGCCTCAGGGGGAAAAGGAGGGCCACCGACGATCCCCACGGCGCTAACGAGCGGAGGCGCCATCTCTCGCGCGATGCCAATAATGGAGACCATTTTGAATGATCACGCCATTTGTAATTTTAGCCCCTTTTTGCTTATTGTTGCCTTGGGGACTCTTCGGTTGCGGTTACCCTAAACCTGAAATGGCCTCAGTAGGGTTCCCCTGACCCTGCACGTTTAACGCACGATGTAATGTAATAAGTACCTAACCCTTTCTTGTATGCAGGACAATTTCTCATTAGAGGATAGTCGAGGCTAACAAAGTATATTTGAGGCGACAGGGCCCCAAACTGGCGCCATCGGCCGAGGTTTAGTCGGAGCTGCCGACCGGCAGTCCACCGATGTTTATAAACCCCGCCCCCCGTCGGCCCCCGGCGATCCCTTAATGCACTTTCTCTGGCTCTTGCTTGTGGCGATGGTGGCGGCGGCGCCCGCCGTCTCCGTCCCCGACGTCGACCCGTGGTACGATGCCCCCGCCGACTACGAGAAGCTGAAACCGGGCACCGTCCTCAAGATCCGCAAAGCGCCGCTGAAGCCGCGCACCGTCTACTTCCCCATCACGGTAAAGCAGGCGTGGCAGATCATGGTGCGCTCCGAGGACTCGCACGGCAATGCCCTGTGGACGGTCACTTCATTGCTCGAGCCGTTTAACGCCGACAACCACAAGTTGGTGCTGTACCAGATCGCCGAGGACTCGCTGCTGTACAACTGTGCCCCGCTGTACGCCATCATGTACGGGGGGCTGATGGCGACGATTCTGTCGCAAGTAGAAATGTTTGCCGTGCTGACGTTGTTGAACCAGGGCTACTGGGTGTCCACTCCCGACTACGAGGGCCAGACGGCGGCGTTCACCGCGGGACGGTTGGCGGGGAAGGGGGTGCTTGACTCCATCCGCGGGGTGTTAAACTCGCATAATATAACGGGGATCGACCCCGACCCGGATATCATCGCCTGGGGCTACCTGGGCGGGCTGCTTGCTCTGGGGTGGGCCGCCGCCCTCCAGCCCAAATACGCCCCGGAATTGAAACCGCGGTTGAAAGGGGTCGCCCTCGGCGGGTTTGTCACCAACATCACCGAGACGGTGCTCGCCGTCGACGGGGGGCTCTTCTCGGGGTTGGTCGCCCTGGGCATCACCGGCCTCGCCAGCGAGTACCCCCAGCTCGAGCCCATCATCAAGGACGAGTTGGGCAAGCACTACGACGAGTTTGCCCTGCTGCGCCACATGTGCATGGTGCCTCTGCTCTACTACTGGGCCGACAATGCGATTTTGAAGCCGTCGCCCGACACCAACTTTACCTATTTCCAGGGGGGGATGAAGCTTTTTGCCAACCAACAAGTGCAGAAAGTGCTTGCCGACGTCACCTTGGGCATCGCCGACGACGAGGTGCCCCAGGTGCCCCTCTGGGTCTACCACGGCCAATGGGACGAGATCGTCCCCCACGTCAACACCGAGCGCGTCTACGACGCCTGGTGCCGCCAGGGGGTGCCCCTGTTCGAGTTCACCACCGACTTGACCGGCGGCCACATCACCGACATGTTTATCGGCATCCCCGCCGCCATCGGCTGGATCGAACGGCGGTTTGGCGGCGCCCCCGTGGTCAACGGGTGCGGCAAAAACCTGACGTTGTCGATGTTGACCCACCCGCTAGCCGACCCGGCGCTTTCCCAGGTGCTAAAGCTGCTGGGGCTGGCGTTGTTTGGCGGCGAGCTTGGCCCCAACGGCGAGAACTTGACCCGGGCCGACTTGCACTCGCTCAGCAAGCGCGGCATCCTCTCCGAGGCGACGTTGCTCCGCGTCAAACGGGGCGACACTGGCCCTTCGGCGTTGGGGGTCCGCGACACCGTCGGCGGCTGGCTCGCCGGATTGTAATACTAACGACAGAACAACAAAATAAATACGATAGACAACCACTCACACTAGTACGTATAGTTTAAAAGTACTGTGGGAGACAAGGGAAGATATTCGCTGACAATTTTTTTGGGTGAGAAATAATCTTTTATGTGGTATCTAATGTACCTATTGACCACTTACGGTCGCTGTAAAACAAGCAGGGATTTGTGATACCCAGACAACCACCAACACACCTGGCAGGGGTCGTCACCGACGACGTCCAAGGCAATTCATTAGGCGCATTTCACGGTGCCGCTTAAGGGTAGCCCTACCACTTGAAGAGTACGGCGAAGCTATGGTGGCGAAGGCCGACACCCGGTTCCAGACGCCTGCGTTGATGGCTTGTTGACTATCAAGCTAGCTCATGACACAAACTCCGAACTAATAGTAAATCCACCATGTGGCGACGCTTACGACGACGGCGGGGTCGAACGGGCTCATCGTCTGATAAATCTCCTATTTGCCGTCTACTCCTTAACGGTGGTGGGGGACGAGGCATCGCTCGTCACGTGTTTTAATATACGGTAAATTGGTCGCGTAATATACGTAAATTGGTCGGGGTCGGAGTCGGCGGTTAGCCGCGGCTAGGCGCGGCGAGGTGTCAAAATTAACTAATATACAGGCGCGGTTGCGACTCGGAACGCCAGGGCCCGCGCTGACTCCGCCCCAGGCCACGACCCCATCATATATATAATATCCCCGCCACCCCTTAAGCACCAGCAATCCCATATCCCAAAACCACACGCATGTCCGACAGCAAACCCGCGGGGCGCACGGTGTTGGCGCTGACGATCGCCAAGCCCTACATCGACGAGATCGAGCACGGGGTACGCGAGCTCACGTTCACGCCGACGGTGGTGGGACTTTTGGCCAACGACGACCCCGCCGCCAAGATGTACGCCACCTGGACGGGGAAAACGTGCGAGGCGCACGGCTTCCGCTACCAGCTCCGCACCTGCGACAAGAACGACCTCGAGGCGGCGCTCGTGACGGCGAACCACGACCCCGACGTCCACGGGATCATGGTCTACTTCCCCGTGTTTGGCGACAACCAGGACCAGTATCTCCAGCAGCTCATCCTGCCCCAGAAAGACGTCGAGGGGCTCAACTTCCTCTACTACCACAACCTCTACCACAACGTGCGGTTTTTGGACCCCCCGCACAACGAGCAGAAGCTGATCTTGCCGTGCACCCCGTTGGCGATGGTCAAGATCTTAGAGTACTTGGGGGTGTATAACAAGATTCTCCCCTACGGCAACCGGTTGTTTGGCAAAAAAGTGCTCATCGTCAACCGGCTGGAGATCGTGGGGCGGCCGTTGGCGGCGCTCCTCGCCAACGACGGCGCCACCGTGTACTCGGCCGACGTCAACGACATCCAGCAGTTTACTCGCGGCGACGACCTCAGCCACACCCGCCACAAGGTCGTCGAGCTCGACCCCGAGGAATACTCGGTGGCGACGGTGGCGCCGCGCTGTGACGTCATCATCACGGGGGTGCCGCTGGAAAACTACAAGTTCCCCACCGACCTCGTCAGCTACGGCACCACTGTGATCAATTTCTCGCTGGCGAAGAACTTTGACGACGACATCAAGCTCCGCGCGGGGCTCTACGTGCCCCTGATCGGCAAGGTCACCATCGCGATGTTGTTGCGCAACTTGTTGCGGTTGATCGACAACCAGGCCATCCGCGACCGCAAGGCCGATAAGACATGATACAGAGGCTAAACAGATGGACATGACTCTTACATTTAAAATATACAATACACAAAGTCATAAACAGACATGATTTAGTCAAAATCGATCGTATACAAAGGTATAGACAGACTAATGATTTATTTAGGTCAAACAGTATACAAAGGTTTAACCAGTTCAACTGATTTAGCAACGATTGCCGGGTTACGCACGGAATTAAGGTGGACGATTTATGTCGAAGGTTTGTTAGCGATGAAGCTTATAGCCAGTGCCAGAACCAATCAATGGTTAGCCGATCGATGGAACTGCTATTGCAGGGAGTTGGAACCGTTGTTGCTAGAACCAATCAATGACGAATAGGGCGTTTATGGTACAAGGTAGATGGTTGTAGCCAATGCCAGAGGGTGTAGCTGTTGTTGCCACAACCAATTGATGGTTGTATAAAAGGTGGGGTAGAATTTAGTTGTTACCAGATGGTAGAATTGTCGTTGCTAGAACCATTAATTACACATAAAGCGAGTGATGTACCGAGTAGGCAAGTTTTTTTACGGAACCGTCTGGTACCGAGCCGCACGGGCATCAACACTGTAAACGATCTCCAAAAAGTCTACCCATCGGACCTTCAGGAGCTCAACTTTAACCGATCAAACGGGGAATGGTGCTGTAGTATGGCTGCAATCGATAGTAAGTGGAAGTTTACTTAACTAATCGAATGGTAGAGGTGGAAGCATCTCCTGGCAACCCAATAATCAATCAATTTTCGAGTTTCTTGTCAGTCCATCTCTACACCATGACTTATGTAGTCAAGAATGCACTCGAACTAGTGCCTGTAGTCGGAGAGCTATACGCCTCAGAAATGTGTTGAGGAATGATTCAAAGCTAGGCCTTACACGATGGCTTTATCGGACTGTACTGTTAACAATACGGACACTACTAGTCACTGAGTCAGCGGTGAGGATCAATAACGGATGGGCTACAACTTCAGCTGGTACTCGGTGGCGCGGGACAAGTCGATGGCGGCGTCGCGGGCCTCGAGGCGCTTGGTGTAGTCGCCGACGACGGAGAAGTCCGACGGCGCCCCCAACTTGAGCATAAAGTACATCGAGAGCGGCAACATGAGGATGATGTCGGCGGCGGTCAAGCTGTCGCCAACAATGTAGTCGCTGCCGCGGCGGCGCTGGGCGGCGAGCTCGGTGTCGATGTACTCGACCATGGTGGTGGCGCGCGGCACCCGGTACGCCGCCGTCACCACGTCGGCGTCGGCGTCGACGCCAAACAACTTGTTGAGGAACAGCGGGAGGACAAACATCATCAACAGCCCTTCGGCAAAGTGGATCCAGTAGTCGACCTGCTCCCGCTCGTGAGGGGTGCGCCCGCTGAGCTTGTGGTCGGGGTCAAAGTGGCGGAGGAGGTAGCTGAACACGTGGCCCAGCTCGGCAAGCACCACGGGGTCGGCCTGGTGCTTGTAGTAGACCTCGACGAGGGGCACCGCCCCCAACGGGTGCAACTCGTACACCAGCTGGGGCGGGAACGGGCCCGAGTGCTTGACGATGGTGTGGGGGAGCCCGAGCTCCTCGACGAGCCACACGATTCTCAGCGCCCGCGTCCGGGGGACGTAGTGGATGGTGACGTGGTCGAGGTCGGCGAGAGACATGGAGGCGACCGGTGGGGGGTGAGGGTTGCTCCCTCAAACCGCGGGCGACCCCGACATTTCACATGGAATTCCGAGCACAAACGTCGACCTCTGGCCCGTCTTATCTAGTCCACTCTAAAAATGATTGTAGCCGATCCTACTTTCCTAGAATATGATATTTTGGTCCTGGCAACGTGTATACTGAACAACCCCGCACTCTCTGCATATACTAAATTTCCGCCGTCGTTGGCTGTCTCCGACCGCCTGGTACCGAGAGCGAGTTTCCCTGAGGCGTGAGTTTCAAAATTAGATTTCAAGTTTAGAAATGAAAATCGGTTGCAACAATGGTCCTACTATCCTTCAATAATTGGTACCAGTAACATCGATTCGTTTAGACCAAATAGCCGACTCTACTATCCTAGAATAAGCTAGTGGTTGATATTCGGTGACCAGTAATTACCGGTAACGAGAAGATCAGATCGTATCGCAATAAGAAACACACAAATATATCAACATACAATCCAGCGAGATATAGTAGAATTATCGGTGATAAAACAACACCTACCAGACTATGTAGCTCAAACCAGCGGTGCGGGCAATCGAGGCTAGATCTTCGACGATAGCTTTGTTTGTGCGACTCGTACCACCACGGGGCGACTCGTCCCGGGGCGACTCGCGCCAGTGCGGGTGCGACTCCTACGGGACCGCGCGTGACTCCGGAAGAACACCATTCGAAGCGCCAGTAACTATTTTCCCGCCCCGAAGACGACGCTGGCGTCGCCGTGTCTGCGCCCCAAACACCCACCCACCCACCGAAGCAAGTTGTTAGAGTAGGCCACGAACCCGCGGCCGCCGCTGGGCGGCCGCCGCCGCGCGCCCCGGTGGCGATATCTCGTGCGCTCGCGCCCCCGTCGCCCACGCCATGGTCGCCGACAAGCCGCCCAAGAAACGTGTCGTCCACGTCGACCCGTTGGCGGTGACGGAGCTGTTAGGGTTCCAGACGTTCCGGCGCGAGCTGCGCAAGCCGTGGCTGAAGGCGGAGGACGACCACTTGCTGGCGCTCATCGCCGAGATGTACCCCGAGGGCGCCGTCGACCCCGACAAGGTGAAATGGGACGTCGTCGCCCAGCGGATGCCCCCTCACGGCCACCGCAAGGCCAAGGACTGCCGCAAGCGGTGGCTGAACTCGCTCGACCCCCATCTCCGCAAGGGGAAGTGGCGCCCCGACGAGGACGCCAAGTTGCTCGAGGCCCACGCCCTCTTCGGGGCGCTGTGGCAGAAGGTGGCGGCGCTCATCCCGGGGCGCACCGACGACCAGTGTGCCAAGCGCTACATCGAGGTGCTCGACCCCAACATGAAGGACCGCCTCAAGCCGTGGCTGCGCGACGAGGACCTTCGCCTCGTCCGCTTGGTCAAGGCGCACGGTACCAAGTGGAGGACGATCCTGGGCGAGTTCAGCGGGCGCACCCTGTTGACGTGCCGCAACCGCTGGCGCAAGTTGGTCACGGAGGTGGCGCGGGGCAAGGCCGACGACATCATCAAGCGCGCCGTCGACACCGTCACCCAGGCGCTGGCGGCGCCGTCGGTGGAGCAGAGCAACCGCGGCCTCCTTCTGACGCCGATGGCGGAACCAGCCCCGAGCCAAACTAGCGCCGCCGACGGCGCCAGTGGCGCCAGCGCCATGAGCGCTACCACCAGCGCCAGCGCTACCACCGCCGACGGCGCCCCGGTGCTGAAGCCGATGACGTCGACCACCGAGTGGAAGTACGCGTTGGAACCGCAAGCGGCCAACGCCTTCGCCGACTACCCGCACAAAAAGCTCTTTGGCGACGCCGGAGGCGTCATCAAGTCGCAGGAGCTCGCCCAGTACTTGGTCGAGTACGCCAAGCAGCAGGGGCTCGACGTCACCGTCCACCAGCACGTCCACCACCACTACCTGCCCGTGGGGCGCGAGCGGCTGCTGACGCCGGCGGCGGCGTACGGCGCCGACTTGTTCGGCGACTCCGAGCTCACCAACCGCAAGCTCTCGGCCCTCCTCGAGCCCGAAACCCAGCTTCTGCGCTACCAGCACTTCAACTACCTCCTGCCCCTCACCGAGGTGCCCAAGTTGACCCTGCTGACGCTGCCGCCGACGCTGAACCCGCTGAAGGCGCCGCCGGCGCCGGGCGCGGCGCCACACCCATCAAAAGCGCTGGCGGCGCCCCCTCCGGCGCCGGACCCACTGAAGGAGAAGGACGACTTGATCTCGGCGTTCGTCGGCGCCTCGTCGTCGCTGCGGCTCACCCCGCTCACCCAGGCGGTGGAGATGGCGGCGGCGGCAGAAACCGAGCTCCCCAAGGAGGACGACGACGAAATGGACTTCTGGGACCTGATGCGGATGCTGTACCCGGTGCCGGGGATGGAGCCGCTGAAGACGAAGCCGGTGTCGCAGCACCACCCGCTCCACTACGAGGACGGGCGCAGCGCCCCGATGCCGCCGCCTCACCAGCCACAACCGCTGACTACAGCCGCCGCCACGCAGTCGCGCAAGCGCCGGCGCCAGGACGACGAGCGCCTGACCAACAGCGCCGAGCGCATCGTCGCCGAGGAAGAGGACGTCGACGCCGACATGCTCAACCAGTACGGGTTGTTCTACAACATCTACACCAAGGAAGGCCAGGTGAACCCGGAGCCCCCATCGGAGCCCCAGCCGAAACGCCTGATCTACGACCAGTGGGGCGGCTTCGGCATCATCCCCTTCAACCCCTCGTAACTCTGTTTCTGGAAGGTGTATGCCTTGTTACATATTCATCGAGACCAGTGGGATTGTGCCGACGCCCACACGAACTTGGGGGTCACCATTGCCGTACCAGGGCTCTGCTTGCATCGAACGTGCTCACCATTTTGATGGTACTGCCCAGGATAGACGGGGGTGGCCACGACCCGTATTGGGGACACCGGTGTCCTGATCAAAATACCACGCAGTTTGACATATGTGAGGAATTTCTTTGATAGCCATTCTCATCATTGTACGCGAGTGACTTCGAGTAAGTACCACAAACGGTGGTGTATGTAGTCTGCTGAAATTTGCCAGTATCATTCAAGTCTCATTAAGCCGATTGCTAGATACGATCACATCGTTTAATGGAATATTCCCTCCCAACGTATACGACGGTACGATAATAATAATCTCGTCACTCCACCAACTCAACACATCAACCGCCTTTACTGGTTCCCCTCACTTGCCCCGGCGATTAGGGCCAATGATGATAAGGTCGGACCAACGGTCGTGTTGTTGGGGTCGCTTGTGGTGGCTCAATAGGGTTTGTTTTTCGGATATAGCTGCCAGGCAAGGCTGAACTTCCTTTTCCCCGAAAAATGTCACGGTTGACTCAGAGTCGTCTCGGGGATGCGGATAAAATGGCGATCATGAGGTTAGATAGCGACACCGGATCGACGGCCCCGCCCCCTTACTAAAATGAAGGGGCCATGGCCACCTATAAAGGGGGGACATTTCCTCAGTTGTTGCTTCAGTCCAACAAATCATGATCTTCTTGGGCCGCCGGCTCTTCTCGTTCTTCAACTGCCACAACCGGATGCACTCTACCCTCCATTTCATTGAAAAACAACACAAGGAAGTTGACGACCACCCGTCGTTGTTGGTGGACCATTAGCAACAGTACAAGTGTCAATAAACGTGAAAGCTATGAGTACCGGTAGCGCCGGTAGAACTCGGGGCCCGGCTCCACCAAGCGGGCGTAGACCTCAGCCCAGAGAGGCATGGCGGCGCCGATCGACGCCACCGCGTGGGCATACCGCAAGAGCCACCCAGCGACCGCCACCACCGCCACCGCCCCGGCAATGACGCGCCGGTCTCGCCACCCTGACGTCGTTACTGGTGGCAAGCGGACGACGCGAGGGAGGTGGGCGACGGCGGCGGCGTTTCGAGAACGTCGAACATCCTCGTCGCCTAAACCAATGATGGTGGCCTCGAGGTCGGCCTGGCGGCGGCTGCGAGTCCCCCGCCGCCGTTGCTGCTCCAAACACTCGATGTATTCGCTCTGAAGGCGCAAGTCACCACCAGGCGTATTGGTTATAGGGTCCACGACGCGAGGATCAATAACTGGCGACGGCGGCGCCGGCTGGTCGAGCCAGCGGCACAACAAGTCGGCCAACGGGTGCGGCTCCCCCGGCGGCTTAGGGGGGTCGTCGCTGCCGCTGAGGGTGGCGATAAACTCGGCGGCGTCGTCCCACGTCAACTGGCACTCGCGGGGTAACGTGTCGACCACGGCGAGTTTATCGGCGGTAAGCAGCTTCCCGTAACCGGTGGCGGCGACCAAGGTCACAAACCGGCGAATCTCGTCGCCCACTAACGTGTGGCCATCGTTGCTGGCGTCAACAAAGCACTGTCGGAGACGACCCTCTCGGTGACCCATGGCGCGCAACAACAAAGACGCGTACTGATACCAGTGGTACCAAATTGAAACCAGTCATGAAACATCTCCTGAGACATCACCATTTGATGCCTGTTCATAAAACAGGTTTGTAGAGGGTTTTAGCTGGTAGTGGGTCCGTTGTTACCAGAACCAATTAACGACAATTAGTACCAATTGATGGTCATTTCATGGGTGAGGTGGTGGTAGCGTGACAAGTTTTAGCTTGGTTACAAATGGAATATTCGGTGTTGCTAGAATCAAACAGACGCTTAGTGTTGCTGCTGGAGCCAATCAATGGTCATTTAGTCGATTAATAGTGGGTTGTGGGCCAAGCGAAATGGTGTATCGTTGTTGCCAGAACCAAACAGACGCTTAGTGTTGTTGCCAGAACCAACTAATAATTATTCAATTGGTAATAGTCGCTTGTTGTTGCCAGAACCAATTAATGGTTAATTAATCGATTGGTGACACTTTTTGCCCAATGCTAAATATGTGGTTGCTGGAATTAATAAACGATAAATAACGCTAGTAAGTGATCTAAAGTCCCGTTAATCAGATACATAGTGGTAATCTACGCACGGCAACAGCTAATAGACGCTTTAGTGGTGGCGCCTCCATTGACAACGTCATTGTCAATTCCTCGAGATCTACTCCGACTTCAGAAAACATCCACACCAAAAAACTAGAGCCCATTGACTTTAATCTAACAACTTTAAGGAACTAGTTTGCGATAGACTTATCAGAGTATTACTTTTGGTGGCGGGTGTCACCGGGTCGCACTGATTGGATCTGGGCGCGATCCCCGTGCCCCGTACCGCAGCTGGCCACGATGGAGATCCCCTTCGACATGGACGAGGACGGCCTCGTGCCCCTGGTGACCCCCAGGTTCGCCGTCGTCGAGCTGGCGCTGGCTACGCTCCCGCGCCATCTCCGCGGCGGCACCGGCGACGACATCGCCACCCTGACCACCGAGGACGACATGCGCTTCGACGAAGACGCCGACGACAAGCTCGACCCGGCGCTTGTCGCCGAGCTCCACCACGAGTTCCAGCGGCAGCAGCAGCAGCGGGGCGCTGGAGCCAAACAGACGCTCACGCCGCCGGAAAACTTCGCCCCCGTCATCGACACCATCTACCGGCTGCTGTTCCCTCAGCCGGCGAACTTTGAGTTTCTCAAGACGCTTAGGTTGAAGCTGGTGCTCTGCTTGATCCCGGAGGAGTACCCCGACGTCCAGCAGCAGTTTTTGGACGACAACGGCATCCGCCTCTTCCAGTTGGGGATGCTGGGGAACAAGGAGCCCTTCGTCATCATCTCGGCCGAGCTCATCACCGAGGCGGCGAAAATCGTCCTCAACCCCGCCAACCACCCCATCTTGATCCACTGCAACCGCGGCAAGCACCGCACGGGGTGTCTCGTCGGCGTCCTCCGCCGCCTCCAGCAGTGGTCGTTGCTGCTCATCTTCGACGAGTACCGCAAGTTCGCCGCCCCGAAGGAACGCCTGATGGACCAGCAGTTCATCGAGCTCTACAACGACGCCGCCATCCGCACCTACGCCCTCGACCACGGGTGGCTCCCGCTCCTATGGGACTCCGCCGGTGACGCCATCAGCTGACATTGCCCCGTTGATGGCCATACGTACGACAATTCCTCACGACACCTCAACGTTAATAGATAATCTTCAGGGTACTGAAGAAATCTTGGAATAATTCGTTTTGTCATGAACTACCGCAATAGGATGACCAAGATTATTCTCACCGAGCTCACTACTTGATTAAGGCTGGAAAGGTAACAATACATGCCCTCTGAGTTCATTCATTACTAATTACTTCACTGACATACTCGTTAGCTCGTGTCACAAGGTTGTACCAAATCACATCTCATTCTCGGGTTCAATATTGAGAGGTTGCCGTAATCTCAACTTGTCGCGATGGCACCAATTGGACTCGATCTGTTCAAACCGATTCTTAATACCTTCGGGCGTGTGGTCGATTTGATTTTCAGTTCTGGTTCCCTCCCAATGGAAGTATTTGAGCTTTTGTGGCGTCTTGGACATTTCCGTGCCTTCGAATCTGAATTTGGCTTCCCTGGGCAATTTGAGTTGTACAACAGACGCAGGGATCACAAGCTCATCGTCGTTACAGCAACCAGAGTCGATGGAAACCGACGTGAGCTTGTTGCATCCGCTGAACAAGCGACGGGTATCCCGTGGCAAACGGCTCAAGCTTGCTTTTTCCACCATGTCGGGGATTTGCTCGATGGTGTCACAGATTAATTCCTGACAAGTGATGCCTTCTTTAATGGATGTTCTCAGTGCTTTCAACACTTTAGCCGATATGGCAGGGGTTTGCCGAAATGAACAGTATACGAGGGTTACTTCGTTCGCTGAGAGTACGACTCTGTCCAATTTCATATTTTTAACGGTGACGGACTCGAGGTAATGGCCAATGACAACATCAATTTTAGGAAACTCTCGATGTACCAAATCAAGCATGTGTAATTGACGAAGGTTCGGAAAGTTCTGTAAGGGAATTTGGATGGCTCCCACACTCAATTTCCGTACTTTGGGAGCGAAACATTCGCCACAGGATCGGATGTCATCCATCATTAACTCTTCAAGATGAGGACAGTTGAACGTCAACACATTTGCACCGTCAATCAGCAAACGCTTAAGCGTCGCCGATGTGACCGAGATGTTTTTAGTACGTCTTATATAATCGTAATACTCAAACACCGTAAGCTGGTCAGGAATACCCTCGACCGGCGAATGTGAGTAGATTTTCAATTCCTTTAAATGGGGCGGTAACGGGGTGTGGTTGGTGAGGGTGTGGTTGTACGTCACGTGTAAAACTTTGACTTGCTCCAACATAGTTAAGTCATCGAGTTCAACGTTCTTCCCTTTGAAAGTTTTGAGGCGATTGATTTGGTCGTGAGTAAAAAAGTCCGTGATAATGCCAGTGTGCCGATGATTTAACACAACACTTCGAAGGTTGGGGCAATGGATATGTTGGAAGTTTGTAAACTCCTTGATTTCAACCTCCTCCAATATACAGCAGCGGGTGCCATCCTCGATGAAGTCGACAGCGGCCGTTTTGAGCTGGCGCCAAGGAATGTTGTCATCCCATCTACCACTGTAGTGTTGGAGTTTGGGCAAAGGCAAGGACAGAATGACGTTGATTTCGTGATCACGAATGGTGGTGACCAGCAGTGGTAACATTATCAGATAACGGAAGCTGTCACAAAATTCTGTAGGAGGCGAGAACTCCACATGGGTGAGCTTCGTCAAGTGGGTGAAATCGACCATACCCTTCAAGCAGCCGCGGGGGAGTTAGAGTTCCTTAGTGGACAAGGGAATGTTTCTAAAGCGATTGATATCCTTGAGATGCACCGCAACCACATTTCCTTTGACGCCGTTGAAATCGACATAATCCTGCTTGTGCGCCAACGAGCCATACACCGTGATTGCCACCAGCGCAAACTTCAATTGGCGAAGGTACCACTTGGCGAGGTCCCAATAGGCCAACCGGCTGTGCACGTGGACGTGGCACCACGACGGAAGCAACGCCGCCGTGGCAAAGTCAATCATAGAAGTGTCGTGTTTGGGTTGTACCTCCGGCGACACGGGCACCGTGACCTTCTTGAGCCGGTCGGCGATGACCTTTTTGACAGGCACATACATTTGCACGCATTCGTTGTAGGCGGCGTACAAGCGACACACCGAGACGTCGTCGAGGTGGGACACAATGATCTCAACAATTTCCAACGGGAGGGCCTCAAAAGTGGGGGGAGGCGCCGTGGTGGCCCCTGTGGCGTGAATTACAGCGAGTTCCTGAGGCGGGGTGTCAACGGGGAGCGGGCTCAACTTTTGGAGGCGGCGGCTAAAGCGTCTACGACGTTTGGCCGCGGGAGCATTGGCATGTTTCCCAGGGGAGTTGTTGCCAGAAGCACCAAAAGCACCCGCCATGGTCAATCTGTCGAAGTTAATTGAAGGAGGAAAGTTTTTTTCTCGTCATCGCTCGCTCAATACGGCGTATTGCCTCGACTTTCCCTGGCGTCGTCAACTGGGGCACCGTGTGGCTAGTGCGCGTGACGATGTCCGCCTATACGATAAATACGACAAACGGGTACGAAATGCTACCATGGTCTGGAGATTTTATCGATTCAGTTAGGTTTGAGAAGTAGATTCTGATTTATTTAGGATATAGTTAGAACTATTTAACTTCGGGAGGTGGGTCTCGTAAGTGGTGCACCATGTACAAGCTACCCGATCTGAGGTACAGAACGCATGTACCATCAGGTTAGTTGGTGGTGTACATGAGCATCGCTGACGAGGCCTAAGATAATCTTGGCGAAAAAGCGAGGACCAGATGGGAATACCCGAGGTATTACCCGCTAGTCCCTAACATATTCGGTCAATGGGCTAAGAGCAATCATATGGCGTAGTTGTGATTCCATTCGGTAACTACGTTATTAACAATTTCGCAGCCATTTAAGCGGGGTGGTGATCACGTGACTTCTACCAGTACGGCTTCTACAAGGAGGACACGGTAACGATGTATTGTACGTATTTTAAAACAGCGAGAAGTAACGCTTGCCGTAGACGCCGGCGTTGAAAAGGGCAAACGCCCCTAACCCGGCGGGCACAAACTTGCCGTGGGTCACCAGCTCCACCGCCTGCTTGCCGTTGACGATAAGGTACAACGCGTTCCAGGCAAAGTTGAACCCGGCGCCGTTCTTGGGGTCCAAAAACATGATGTAGGTGCCAATCAAGTTGGCCGCCCCGAACGTGAAGCACAGCGCCCTCGTCGGCTTCACCACCGTCACTTTCTCCCTCACCGGCTGGCCGGCAACCCCCTGGACGACCTCGACGACGTTGTCCGGCACGATCAACCCTCTGAGGGCAAGCAACGACCCGAAGGCGGCACTGGGGTACGGCAGCGCCCCCAATTGGTCGACCTGGGTCGCCACTTCGCTGGCTTTGGCTTCGATCTTGTCCTTTTCCGTGGGAGCTCGGGTGGCCATTATTGCTTTATGAGATGACAGGGATCTCCGCCGTGGTTATATATACTGGGCAATTGTGCAGGCAAAACCCCTGGTATTGCCGGCAACTTCGGTACTGCTATTGACTATAGTTGCGGCGCTACCATGTGCGCTCCCGCGGAAGCCAGATAAAAGGCGGTGTCGAACGGATACGATTGCTCTGCGCTCGACGCCTCTCTCCCGTTGCCACCAAGCAGGCCATGGTCTCTGAGAGACTACTCGGGCTAGCTAGGCGAGAACGGGAGCGGCGGAGAAGCCTCTGGCGATGATGACAACTATCTAGAAAACCGTGATACAATGGTACGTGATCAGTTTAAGCATGTATTGCCTGAGCCAGGGCTGCGCTATAAAAGTTCTTTTTCTTTCACAGTGGAGGGGGATAACCGAGACGTACTAAAGCTCTGGCCTCGAGGCCACATGGTTGCTGTCGGTTGCTCTCGGCATTAACGGCACTGCCGCTGCCGGCACCGACTACCAATGTTCCCTTCATTGTGTTCATTAAACATAACCGATTACATAAAAAATTTCCCATTATCCTTACGATCTTTCGCCTCTCAATCTTCTCGCCAATTGGATGTCCTTCTTTTGGATGGTGACTCTCTTGGCGTGGATGGCGCACAAGTTAGTGTCTTCAAACAACGACACCAAGTAGGCTTCGACGGATTCTTGCAAGGCACCAATGGCCGACGATTGGAATCTCAAGTCGGTCTTGAAGTCCTGGGCGATTTCTCTGACCAATCTTTGGAAAGGCAACTTTCTGATCAAGAGTTCGGTCGACTTTTGGAATCTTCTGATTTCTCTCAAGGCGACGGTACCGGGCTTGTATCTGTGGGGCTTCTTGACACCACCGGTGGCGGGGGCCGACTTTCTGGCGGCCTTGGAGGCGAGTTGCTTTCTGGGGGCCTTACCACCAGTGGACTTTCTTGCGGTTTGCTTAGTTCTAGCCATGATTGATTGGGTGTAAACTACAAACTTGACCTTCTGGGGGGGTATGCCTTATATATATGACTAAGGGGCGACTCGGCAGCGAGCATCGGTCGCGTGAGGCCATCGCCGGCTCGTGACGCAGGTGGGGAGCGACCCGGTAACCTCACCGTCGCGTCGCGGAGGGTTGGGAAAACCGCGACAATGTCGAAACCCTCGTCGTTGGCGTGCTAGGTTCTACGCCCGCGCATCGTGGGTCCGCCACCCCGGCTTTCGCACGCGCACCGCCACCAAAAAGACGCCGCCGAGACGCGTCGCCGCGGGCCCGCGGCCAGGCACCACCGCCAGCGGGCGTTGCTCCCCCTTCGCCAGTGCCAATGCTATATAAACTTGGTGCCCCCAGCGAAGTTGGAAATCCATCAGTTTTAACAAATCATGTCTGGCAGAGGTAAAGGCGGTAAAGGTCTCGGCAAGGGTGGCGCTAAGCGTCACAGAAAGATCTTGAGAGACAACATCCAAGGGATCACCAAGCCCGCCATCAGAAGATTGGCCAGAAGAGGTGGTGTCAAGCGTATCTCGGCCTTGATCTACGAAGAAGTGAGAATCGTGCTTAAGCAGTTCTTGGAAAACGTCATCCGGGATGCCGTTACTTACACCGAACACGCCAAGAGAAAGACCGTGACTTCGTTGGACGTCGTCTACGCCTTGAAGAGATCGGGGAGAACCTTGTACGGTTTCGGTGGTTAACCAGTGGTTTACGTGTATTATTAGTTTAATGAATGGTAATGAAGGAATCAGGAAATCGCTGTAGATGGTTGAGTTGAACGATTAATCATATTAATTTGAGATCTAATTGATTGTTGTTTTTATCAATATTCAACGCCAGTGGCAATGCTGTGTTGTCATTGATGGCAACTATTGGGCTAGGGGGATGTCTATTAGGTACCTATTGATGTTTCTTTTGCTTCCGTTCCGCCTTCGCTTTCATCACCTGCTCGCGCTTGGCCTTGGGACCGGGCCCGGCCTCGGTCTTCAACACCGCGTCCCACCATCTGAACGACAGCGCGTACAGCCCGATGAAGTAGTGGTGGTGCTCGTCGTGGTGGTCGGCGCCGGCCCAAAACGGCAAAAAGTGGTGCAACGACCACGGGAACTCGTAGCCCGAGTGGGCGTCGACGGCCTGAAACAACCGCAAGATGATCCAGATACACACGGTAAACAAGTGCAAGTTCTTGGTGAACATGCAGAACACCACGGGGATCCCCACGGTGCCCAACCCCAACAACATCACCTCCACCGGGTGGGCGTACTCGGCGGCGAGGCCAAAGGGGGCGGCGTAGCGGTGGTGCTGCTTGTGGATGTACTTGTAGAACGGCCCGTGGTGCAACCCGCGGTGGAACCAGTAGTGCCACGCGTCCTCCAACACGAAAAATAGCGCCCATTGCCACAACATCGTCGTGATCTTGGGGAAGGGGACGTCGAAGGTGATGCCGATCTTCTGACAGAACGGATGGAAAAACCAGATGGGGAACGCCTCGACAAGGAAGTGCAGCGTGAGCACCAGCTTGAGACACTCCCACTGCTCCTTGTCCGACGGCATCTTATCCGGCTGGATCTTGTATTTCTGGAAGTACGGGATCTTGTCGATGACGTACCAGGGCAAGCAGCGGCCAAAATAGAACACTTCGTGGACGAGGAAGAAAAGAAGCCCCGTGGCGAACAAGTCGTTGTTCATGTAGTAGTAGTACGACCCCCACAACTTCTCGACGAAGTTGAGGGTGGGGACGGCGTTGAATTGCTGGTAGACATCACCAAACAGGGTGACGTTGGCAGCAAACGACGAGTAGTCGGAATAAACCTGAGACACCATGGTGAAGGAGTTTCCGTGAAAAAAAAAAAAAAACTTAGTAGCCTCGCCCTCAGCCCATATATTGTTGATCGCGACTGGCTGTGTGCAGTACGCATCCTTCGACAAAAGCAATGCGCGCGCATGTGGGCTATACGACGAGGCGACGGGAACGACGTGTATACGACGGGTACGGCCGCGGGAGTCGCCTCGGGATCACCCCGGTCATTGCCACGCCGGGTGGCGCTGGCGGAGCTCGTGGAGGTCAGGGTGGGCAGCAAACCCGTGGTCGTCACCGGCAGGGGCCACGTCGGCGGCTTCGGCGTCGGCAATGCCAACATTGGTGGCGTCATTATCGCCGACGCCGGCAGTCTCGACACTTCCGGCGTCGGCAGTGTCGGCAGGGTTGGTGTTGTCGTCATCGTGAGCCAATTCCGCCTCGACCACCACCGGGTGGGGCATGGCGGCGATACGGGGGATAAACACCGCGTACCACGGCGGCATCAAGAGCATACGGATAAACCGGCGATTGCCCTCTTCGCCCAGCATCCGGTAGCGTTCAAACGTCTTCTGGCGGAGCAAGGGGCGCACGCTGTACGTCTGTTCGGGGAGGAAGTGTCTTGTGTACCACCAGAAATGGGAAAGCAAGTACACCACGGCCAAGTAGGTGAGCCAGTCGGCGGGGAACATCGCGCGGAAGGTGTCCCAGCTCCACGGGGACGTGACGAACTCGGCGACCCCCTGGGTGAACTCGCCGGTGAGAAAGACGTTGGCCACGGTAAACATGAACGGAAGCATGCCGCGGCGCACGGGGAACACGCCAAACACAAACGAGAGGTCGGCGGCGTGGCGCCAGTGGCAGATGTTCTGGAGAATGCTCTCCAACACGTAGCCGGTGCGCTCGAAGTTGCGGAGCAGGGGGAACATCATCGGCAAGATCACGATCGAGAACGCCACCTGGATGATGAACCAGTAGAAATCGATCAGCTGGTTGTCGTCGAGGAGCCGGCGAAGCACCTGGGTCTGGTGGGGGCTGAAATGGTCCACTTGGCGCGGCAAGAGCAGCCAGGGAACCAGGAACTCCTCCTCGTAGCTTTTCACCCACGTCAAGATCGTGTAGCACTTGAAGAGAAGCCCCACGCCGATGCCTTCAAAGATACAGAACCCGGTGATAAACCGCCACACCTCGATCGGCGCCCGCGACCCCGTATAGAAAAGCACCCCCGGCAGCACGAGCTTGAAGTGGACAAGCACGGCACAGGCAAGGATCAGCGCCACCCATGCGCGGGTGAACGCCGGCTGGTTCTGGAGCCATTGGACCAACATTTATCGGTGCTCTCTCGTTAAGCCTCGTGATTCCAAGGTCAGTGGGTCGCGCGCCCGCGCCACCGAACAAAAACCTACCCCAATGCGGCGGTGCAAAGATCGAAGCAGGACAAACGGTGATTTGTCTTTTTTTAATAAAGTGTACACCGTAAGCCAAGGAGAATTCACAGCTACCAGTCTTCGCCGTTACCGACTCTCTTCAAATTGAGTGAAGCACGTCAACAGTAGAGAGTTACTTGCTCAGGAAAGGAGCAATGACTTGAGGAAGCCCTCCAGTTTGACGAGTGGAGTCAGTAAACCCATGTGTACGAGCTAGATAAACAACCAGATATTAAAAGCTGACAGTGGCTTGCGATACTTGATTTACATTCAGGAGTCCCCCCTCTCATCGTGGTGATTGAGTCGATTTACCATTCGTTCATCATCAATCGCAGACGCCTTAACGTGTTTCAACAGGTTAACAACTCTGTGACGGCAAAACTGTCGTGATTCTTGATTGCCCTAGTTTTATATTTTAAGATGTCTAGAAGCTTAAAACAGATAAGCTATGGCTCGGCTATGTCAATAGAAATCATCAATCATTATCATTACACATAACCTAGGGGGACGCCTTGGGCACAATCCGATTAGCCACCTGGTGCAACTTGTTATAGCGGTTGACGTATTCCGTGGTGGTGGCCGCTTGCGAACCATCTAACCACGAAATGGTTTTCGAGGTGATTTGGTTGAGGGTCTTGTAGTTACCGGGAGTGAGTATGCCCTTCAATTCATCATTGAGCAGGTTCTTCAACGAGTAGGCCAACGAGGCGAGCCGGTTCTTGGCCCCGATGCGGATGGCTTCGGCGTCATCGGCCTCCCGGTACTTGGCAGCGTCAGCCACGATTTGGGCAATCTCGTCATCGGATAAGCGGCCGCGGTCGTGAGTGATCGTGAGCAGCTGAGTGTTGCCCGTGCCCTTATCCACGGCGGCAACATTCAAGATCCCATTGGTATCCATTTCAAAACTGACATCAATATCAGGCATACCTTTGGGAGCAGGAGGAATCTCAAATAACTCAAACTCGCCAAGTAAGTGATTGTTGTCATTGATCTTTCTCTCGCCTTCAAACACTCTGAATTCGATGGCGGTTTGCTTGTCGTAGGAGGTGGTGAAGATCTTTGATCTTTTGATAGGAAGGGGGGTGTTTCTCGGAATCACGGGGGCCATGATACGCCCTTCAAGATCAATACCAAGCGATAACGGCGTGATGTCCATCAACTTCAAGTGTTGGATCTGCGACGAGGGGTCTCCCACCAACACGGCCGCTTGCACAGCCGCCCCGTAAGCAACAACTTCATCGGGATTGATTGACTTGGTAAGTGGTTTACCGTCAAAGTAAGTCAGCAACATCTCCTGCACCTTGGGGATTCTCGTCGACCCCCCCACAAGCACCACCTCGTCCACTTGCGCCTTGTCGATGCCGGCATCGACCAACACTTTGTCCACCAAGGTAATGGTGGTCTTGAAGTCGTCATGGCACAATGCTTCGAAATGGCCGCGAGTGATCGAGCTGTCAAGATCAATACCGTCGCAAAAGTAATCGATCTGACACAAGGCGTGGACCAGCGCTGACAATTCTCGCTTAAGCCGTTCACAGACGACCGCCAAGCGTCTCGTCGCTCGGTTGTTGCCGGTGACAATCTTACCCGTTTTGCGTTCAAACTCGTCCACAAAGTAGTCGACGAGACGGTTGGTGAAGTCTTCCCCGCCCAAGTGAGTGTCGCCGGCGGTGGCTTTAACTTGGTACACCCCGCCATCAATCGCCACGAGGGACACATCGAACGTGCCCCCACCAAGATCAAAGATCAACACCGTTTTCAGCCCAACTAATTGGTTGTCCACACCGTAAGCGATGGCCGCCGCCGTCGGTTCGTTGATGATGCGCAACACCTTAAGCCCAGCAAGCGTCGCCGCATCGATGGTGGCTTGTCTTTGGGCACCGTTAAAGTAGGCGGGGACGGTGATCACCACTGCCGTCACGTCGCCGTCAACATAAGCCTCGGCGGTTTGCTTCATTTTCGTCAACACCATCGCCGCAATTTCTTCCGGGGTAACCAGCTTCGGCTGGCCCAAGTGGTGCACATTAAACACCGGGTTGCCCCAGTGGTTAGCCACTTCAAAGGGGAAATACTTTAAATCCTCCTGAACTTCAGCATCGTCAAACTTGCGACCAATGACCCGTTTGCTGCCAAACACAGTGTTGGCCGGGTTTATCGGCGCCTGACTGATGGCAGCCTCGCCCACTAACCGCTCGGCGGCGGTGAAGGCCACCACGGACGGGGTGGTACGGTTGCCAACATCATTGGCAAGGATGTCACATCTGTCCCTGGCGAAGTGCGCCACGCACGAGTTCGTGGTACCCAAGTCGATGCCAATGGCGTGGGTCATGGATAAACAGAATGATGCCAACGAATTAATAAAACTTACTGTTTTCGATGTATTGCTGTAGCGGCTATTTCAGCAGGGGGTGCGAATTGAAAGGAGAAAGTCGAGAGTCAAAACGAAAAAGTGAGACAGGACCAACTCTTGTCGAATCATTTCCCATTACGTGCTTCCCCTATGCTAGCCTTCTTGGAGCTTCCCTCTTCATGCTTGACTTGCCCTCTGCAACGCCACCATCATTCAGTGGTTACAGACATGATTATCCTTGTCTACCTCATATCAACAAATACACCATGTATTAGCCTCCGCCCACATTAGTGTTTGTTATATGTCAGGCTCACATATCGATTTCCATATACGACCACCTGAGCGTATGGAAAACTTACCAAGTCCAATTGAACAAAACTAAAGTTCCTCCGACGGCAACATTTCCCAAGCAGCCAATTGATCGTAATCAGAGAGATATACGAACCTTTGAATACCCATCAATTCAACTTGGCATTGGCTGAGTAATTTTCAGTGATGAAAGCTTTGAAACGATGTTTTCAACTTGAAATGAACCAGCTCAATATCATTATCCGAAAAAGATCTGATTACTCATACCACCATCTCACCGACAGTCTTAGCAGTTGGGGTTTAGGTGCCAAACAAAATCTCAACGTCGACGGTTACCCACATTGTACGATTTCTATTAGCGGGAATGGTCCCAATTTTGTGATAATGTTGCTTACGATGGGTTTATATGCACGCCGCCGCACATTAACGGCACGGTCCTGTCAAACGTACATTTAGATTATCCGATGACAGCTAACATGTGTGGCGGCTACAGGATGAGGATAACAAACATAAGTATTCCTAGCTAAGGAGATCGTCTAGATCGACACGATGTTTTCGGTGTCAGTATAGTTGACGGCCGAAATCAACACCTGGTTCTTGTCGTGGTTGACGGTGACGTAGGCACTGCGCAAGAAGGTGTCGCCCAAGATGTAAGGGTCGCCCAGCGTTCCTTGGATCCCGAAGTAGTAGCGGCCGGTGGGGACGCCGTTGTTGTCGGTCTCGGCGATGGCCAAGTCGGCGTACGACGTCTTGATTTCGGTCAGGCCGAAGAAGAACGACACGTACTTGTCCGAGGGCGCGTTGGGCTGGATGTAGTAGGTGTCGGAGGACACGTCGTACGTGACCCCAGGCACCTTCAACGCGTTGATAGTGTCGTAAGGGAGGTAGGTCAACGTGGTACCGGTGTCCAAGATCGCCTCGGACCCGCCGGCGGAGCCGCCGTCCGACGTCGAAATCTTCGAGTACGAGATCGAGTCGTAGGGGGAGTCGTTGTCACTGGTGCTGGGGGTGATGGTGGCCACGGGACCACTCACCTTGGCGAGATCACGACCACCGAAGGTAATGGTACCCGTGGCGGTGCCAAGCTTGTTCAAGTAGTACGAGTACGAGTTGGAGGTGATGAACCCTTCGTCCTTCAACTTTTGCGGGAAGTTGGCGTAGGGGAGGCTGTACTCCTGGGCGGGGGCTTCGTTCCTCTCCTTGCCGATCCCGAGAATACCGTTTTGGATGCCATCAGTCAACTCGACGTCGGTGGCCAACGCCCATTGCAAATCGGACACTTCGACGCCGTTGTCAAGCCACACCGACGAGGTGCCAAAGTCACCCCGCACCGTCGACAGGTCACCGTAGGCAATGTCAAACGGTACCCCGTTCTTGGTGAAGCCCGAGGTCGTCTTCAACTTCTTGGCGTCGACCCACAAGTCGGCGGAGCCCGTGTCCAACACCAATTGCAACTCTTGGTTCTGGTCGATGAGCGACAAGTTGATCAAGTAGGTGTCCCCGTCGGCAAAGAGCTTGACGTCAGGGTCACTGGTGGCAGCGTTGGCAGTGTTGGTGGTGCCGGCCTTGGGATTGCCCAAACCAGGGTGTTTGGGATCTTCCTTCTTGGCTTGCTTGTTCAAGGTGAACGAAAGTGGTTTGGGAGCTTGGTCTCTGACCACCAACGCGGCGGCGAGAGAAATCAAAAAAGGGTAAGAAATGGAAACCATGGCGGGATCGAGTAGTGGAGAGAGAAACTTTGTCAGCGAAACATCATCGCCTTTTATAGACGAATCTCCTAGGAAAAATGTGGTGTCCCTCTAGGGGCTGGATCCAGACTTCAACGCACAGGTTTTGCCATTGATCGCCAGGGTGAGTGTGGTGGCCAGGCGGTTTTGTGGCCACAAGCCGTTTCTATCAATGATGATACCCCATTGTTTTCACAGCTGGTCAGACAGCCGCACGCTCATGAGGCACTAGTGTCGTAAATAGACGACTAAACAATTGTCTTCACTCGTTTAGCTCACACGATGCCAATAGGGGGTGAGCGTACGTCAAGCGTGCGACGAGGGTGTCAATACGCACGAAGTCAGGGGTAAAGTCTTGGCGTTTACCCCGGTGAGGGTACAAACTACCTTCGTATGTGCATCTGAAATCGGGTGGGATGGCCCCGCCAGGGCTCCGCAACCTGAAAGCCTTATCAATACGAATCGGCTCAACAATCACTGGTAGTAACTTCTCCTCTATACCTGACCACAGACATTTACCATTGTCTAGAGCAACAGTGGAAACACCGCACCCACCACCACCACCACCACCACACCTCCTTCGACCTATTGTTTTCGAAACTGTGGGATTCATTGTTCACATTATAATCGTCCATTTCTTTTGGGTTGTGACAATGATGGCTAGCGTTCAGCTAGTGAAATTGCATCGCCGAAACATTTACCAACTTCAATTGTACATGGAACTATCGGGGTTCAATCGGAAAATTGTCTGCTGAAGGCCGCATCAATGCATTTGGAAGTACCACCCACAGGCCAACTCATTTCGAGGCCCCACAGATTTACAGCTTACGGTGAGCGCGTTGTCAATCTCTTACCAATATTGCCCCGTAAGGCGAATGAGCATCCTGTAATACATAGACTCGAACACCTTCGGTAACCTTATAATCACTTGACGGGGTATTCTTCGGACTGCAGTCAATCAACTCACCAGCTATTTTTGGAGAATAGAAACCTGATAACAGCAAATGATAGCGAGGGAACTTGTGTGACTCATGATCACCACACAACCCCCTCCTGGAATTCATAACGCCATGTCAGGTGTCTTCCGTCAATTAAGAGGTCCACGTTCTGGTCAACGATACGTCAGGGACTCTCAAGACGTTTTGGGATCACCTGTACGCAGCAGTAATAACCTGTAGCATTCTTTCGATCACATACACATGCTTGATCAATGTTTAGCTGAGTTCTCGACTTTTCCCCCAGTTTGCATAGAAATAGGTAGTGAATTATCAGCGTACATGTAATCATCCAGTGGTTCACATGGCACAAACATTTGGACACAACAACTCATGAGAGAAGTAACGATGGTGCAAACAGCGACGTCTTGTGGATCAATTACATTCTAGGAAAAATTTCCCATCTGGATTCTATCCTCCTCATCTTCGCTATTTGATGGATCTGATCTTTACGTGCACACGGTTGATAGATTCAACACGATCTCCTGGAATTGCGGGAAATGAGTTAGTGACTTTCAAGTGATTATTGAGAGAACCCTCAATTACTTCAAAACTTATCAACCATGCGTATCACAAAATTCTCTGCCTGCAATCTGCGATTATGTTTAAGTAAAACAACTACGGTTTAGTTTCGGGAAAGTTTCAATCGATATTTCTCAACGATGTTATTGACGGCAGGTTTACTAACGCGAGGACCACCAGATTAAATGATCACACACAAGCTGAAGCAACGGAGATCCTTTTCGAGGGAGTAGTTATCCCTTGAGTTTGTTGAGCAGCCATGAATGAGTGGTCGGGAATTACCGCGCTGGCAGAACACTAACACTCAATGTGGGGTTAGATTTCGAAAAAATGAGAAAATGTCTATCAACCATGAAAATTCACCCCATTCGTTAACCTAATCATCACTACCAACTAAGTCTGCTTAATAGTCAGGGTTGGAGATGGTTATACGTGTTTGTCTGAACTCAGGGTGATAATGCGGGTTGTTTACATGGTAAATGTCGCATCGCGATTTTGCAGCCACGCATCGAGGATGTTTCGCCGGTTCTTGAGCACCCGGCCGCCGCCCCGCCCCACTCCTCCGTCGCTCCTGCGGCTCTTGATGCCGGTGACGGTGGCCCTAGGCGTGGTGGTGGCGTACCGTGTCGGGCGGATGACGTCGCCTTGGCTGACGGCGCTGACGACTCCCGTCGCCGACGTCGACCCGCCCCGCTACGCGCTGGCTGGCGATGTTAAACAGGCGATCAAGGAGATTGAGAGCCTAGGGGTGGAGGTGTCGTCGTCACCCGCCGATATCGCCCACCACACGCTGAATGAGTTCACGCCCCACCTCCCGTTGCCCGAGGAAAAGCCTCAGTATATCATCTACCCGACGCTGACGGAGCTGGTGGCGGCGGTGATGAAAGTGTTGCACCGGTACCTGGTCCCCGTCGTCCCCTTCAGCGGGGGGCTGCTGCTCGAGGGCCATTTCTACAACACGCGCCAGGGGGTGTGTGTCGACACGCTGAAGATGAACCGCATTTTACGCGTCAACCACGACGACTTGGACTGTGTCGTCGAGGCCGGGGTGAACTGGGTCGCCCTCAACGACGCCGTCGCCCCCTACCGCCTCGAGTTCGGGTGTGACTGTGGCCCCCAGGGGCAGATCGGGGGCATGGTCGCCACCAACGCCCTGGGGATCAACGCCGTCGCCCACGGGCTGATGCTCCACAACGTCATCGGCGTCACCGCGGTGTTGGCCGACGGCACCGTCGTCAAGACCAAGCAGCGGCCGCGCAAGCTGAGTGCCGGGTACAATTTGACCGGGTTGATGGTGGGGAGCGAGGGGACGCTTGGCATCGTCACCGAGGCCACGGTCAAGTTGCACGTGAAGCCCCAGGCGGAGCTGACGGTGGTGGGCCAGTTTGCCCTGGTCAGAGACACCACCGACGTCGTCAGCCACTTGTTCCGCCTCGGGATCCACCCGCACCACCTCGAGCTCTGCGACGCCGACATGATGAAGTGCTTTAATTACGCCGGCTACACCCCCAGCGACGGCACCAAGTGGGCGGAGGTGCCGACGTTATTCATCAAAGTCGGGGGCATTCTGAAACTGGTGGTGAAAGAGTACGTCAACCAGATTAAGGAGGTTGCCCGCCAGCACCACTGCCACCGATTCACTGAGGCGCAAAGCCAAACAGACGCCGACGTCCTCTGGGGCTACCGCAAACACGCCTTTTTCGCCATGTTGGACTACGCCCGCCACGAGATCGACCCCGACGTCCGCGTGTGGGTCACCGACATCGCCGTCCCCGTGCTGCGGCTTTCCGACACCCTCGCCCAGTGCCGGGCCCTCATCGAGGCCAGCGGGTTTGAGAGCGTCGTCCTCGCCCACGCCGGCGACGGCAACTTCCACGCCGACCTTTTCTACACGGAAAAAGACGAGCAGGAGTGCAAGCGGGTCGTCGACGCCATGGTGGCGGTGGGGTTGGCCAACGAGGGGACGTGTTCGGGCGAGCACGGCGTCGGCAACCTGAAGCGGCGGTACTTAGTCGATGAGCTCGGCGGCGCCGCCGTCGACACCATGCGCCGCATCAAATTGGCGGTGGACCCGAAGCGGATCTTGAACCCGGACAAGGTGTTTACCATCGACGCCAACGATGATCGCGATTACTGATTTACATAAAACTCGTATACACATTCATATTAGTCCTGTTCGGCGATCGCCACTAGGCGGGCGTCGATGTCGGCGGGGGACAAGATCTTGAACCCGGCGGCGGTGGCGACGCCGACCTCGATGTCGTTCTTCTGGAACTCGGTGCCCAACACCAGCGACAACGCGGTGATGGCAAACTCGACCGTCGCCTGCCAGTCGCCGTTGACGTGGCGCGTCTTTTTGAACTTCTTTTCCAAGTACGTCGTCGCCTCCTGCTGTTTCGGCCCCGTGGCACACGCCGCCACCCCTTGGAAGTAGCCGGCAGGGTCGCACTTGAAGATCTCGGGCCCCCGCCCCTCGCCGTCGGCTTCGGTGTCGACCTGACAGAAGGTGAGCGCCACCCCTAACGGTCTCATGTAGGCGCGCTGGGTGTACAACTGGGACAAGTTGGCCATGCGCTTGGCCAACAGCGCCACGGGGATCTCGTAGCCGTACTTGTAGCGGAACTCGGTCGCCTCGGCCCGCGCCCGAAGCGCCTGGGCCCGGGCGTCGGCAATCAGCCCCGTCGCCACCATCCCCACCAGCGGCGTGATCTGGAACATGTACGACACCGTCAGCGGGTCGAGCAACTTGTCGGGGATCTTCTTTTGCGAGATCAACACGGCGCTGTCGCGGCCGGCGACGGCGAGCGACGTGATGTTGGCCAGGTTGATCGCTTTGAACGCGTACTCCACCTGGTACAACCGGCCTTCGGGGGAGAAAATCGTGATGTGTCGGTCAAACCCGGCGGACGCTAGCGTGGTTAGTATGGGGTCATTGAGGCAACGCGGTTAGGGAATAAGGGAGAATATACCTACACGACATGGTGGTGGTGGTCAGCTTGACTCGCTTGTGAGACTTTTGGTGGCAACGCGCGCGAACCAGGTCACGTGAGAGAAAAATAGAATATAGTAGTCCTTCTGTACGGGGGATATGTCTTTAGGAGTTATCGTATATGTTACCTAGTAGACCAAATCATAAAGAACTCAATGTTTGCCGATACTGTTGGATGCCTGGTCACTCATTAATATGATAGTTCTAGGCGTCAATGATGTCTTCCTCATCTACAAAAAGCACCAAGGTGTCAGTCAAAGGGAACATCACAAGTGATTTATACTCGGTTAACCAATACCTGTTATCTTCGAGAACTCGATGTTGTGTAGTCCAGATATCGGTGCTACCAATTGCCCTAGCTCAGAATAGAATACATAAATCTGTAGTGTACTTCCTATAGAGCCTAATGACGTAAATCATGATGAATACAGCAGCTTTATCAAACCGATCACCAAACGTCAAGTGCGGGGGTAGATCACGTCAGAAAAGACAGCAGAATTGGTAGTTCAATTGAAGCCAATCATTTAGTTCACTACACCCATTTAGTGAGTCGTCTGGTGGTGGTGTTTACATGACGTAACGTCGCTTAGAGCGGCACCGTCCGTCCGACCATCTCAACCCCCCAGGGGGCTACGCCGCAAGTGCCCGCTTGCCCGGTGCCGCCATCCACTGCCTCGCCAGGTGTCGCCTACCACGATATCGATACTAAGGCAGTCGTTGTGGATCGCCGAAGTCCGGGGCCATAATCGTAATTTAACGCTAGATGACGATGATGACGATGTCGCCACACGCTGGGGGCGCCAAGACACCCGATCTCGGCCCCTACCCCACCGACAGCACTCGAACAAAACTGCTGCTGCGACTACTACTGCTATTCACGTATACTAGGTATTACAGCCATTGATTTTCGACACACTGTCTTCGTCGGTCCGCTTCACAGTGGTCCAGCAAGGGTCGTCTTGTTCCCTCTTTTTTTTTTTTTTTTCTGTGGGCG